ATCTACTGCTATATTCAGTACGGTCGTTTAGCTGCCAGACTAGACGCAATAGAAACCACCCTACAAGCTGGCGATATCTACGACTACCAAACTACCACTGCAGCCTGTAGCATTCTCATCGAAGAGTTATGTCGACAATCGGCAAAGTCTCTCGGAAATTTAGGTTAAAGTTCACGAGACGCGGCGTCAGTGATACTTCATACCTGAAGGTGAAACTGATCTAAGTCACTGACGTGTACTTCCCGCCCATGCAGACGAGCAGGACTGTGAGAACATCCGCGTCATCATGTAGCGAACCTAGAGTAGACAGCATGCAGTATCGATGTAGGAAATAATAGTGTGTTTTAATACTTTTCATAAAAATGAGCCATAAAATTGAAGAAAATTGATAGAATAAAAAAAATATTTTGTGAAAGTAGCAAAATATGTAATATAGTACTAAATACTCGTAACGAAAAATGTTGATATTGTGTTGGGACGGTGACGATTCGCCAAAATTAAAATTATTAGCTCGATAACTACAAAGACAAAAAATGTAATTGCATAAAAATCCGGTCACTACTCATAAAGTTCCTCGAAAATTGAAAAATTTTCTGAGAAATTGAGCTTGAAGTTCTGCGTTTTCAGATGCACTCAAACGCTAGATTCTTAAAAAATTTTAACGAAAATGTACATGTACGACGAGGTTTTATATTTCTTTAGTATTCTTAAAGTCATGTTTCGGTTCTATCTTTAGAGATACGAAGAATTGGAGGGGAAAAAAAAGAAAAAAAGAAGTGAAAAAATTGTCTTTGGGTGGCAACGGGAAGCAGCTGGGAAGAGGGTGGAATTACACCGAAAATATAGTTCAGAGCAAAAAAATAAGGATACGAACTAGTTTGAGAAATTCTGCGTCATTCAGTAGCATCACTAGTTATATTTCATTTCACAAATCATACCACTGGTGCTATAATTGGGGCAGGCGTTCTCGTATCCTCTATAACAGAAGTATAGAACTGAATTTATCTTGAAAAATTGTATTTCCAAATGATTCCAATTTTTACGTGGTCATCCTTCGAACGAGTCCCGTAAACTAAGGTGACTTGGTGGCTCAAGAATGATCAGTAGTAGCGATAGCGGAGATGGAGCGGGAACTATAAAGCGAAAAAAGGCAGCGAGCAAGCGAGCCAATCAGTATTAGTGAACTAGGTAAGGGCATTCGCAATGTTGTCTATTTGCTAACAACAGTTCCAGTGCCGCGTCGGATTTGGAATTCTCGGACCTCCTCCTCACAAATTAGCATAGCAGAGTTTCAAAAAATGGAATTACTCTAAATTTCTCTCTTTTTTTGTTGCTAATTTGTTACGCAAAAAATTGTCGTTCTTCATTTGACCGTGCAATAAACAATTGGCAAACTGGATATCGAGTTTGCACTGCAAGAAAAAGAAAAAGAAAAAAAGAAAAAGAAGAAAAAAAGAAAAAGAAGAAAAAAAGAAAAAGAAGAAAAAATAAAAAAAAGAAGAAAAAGAAGAAGTAGAAGAAGAATAAGAAGTAGAAGAAGAATAAGAAGTAGAAGAAGAATAGAAGAAGAAGAAGAAGAAGAAGAAGAAGGAGGAGGAGGAGGAGGAGGAGGAGAAGAAGAAGAAGAAGAAGAAGAAGAAGAAGAAGAAGAAGAAGAAGAAGAAGAAGAAGAAGAAGAAAAACTCGCAGAATCACCATCGCGCCCTCTCCGAGATTCGGATTAGGATGGTAACAAAGGCAAGATTTATTTTTTTACTTTCATTCAAAAACAGTTAAAACTGTGTGTGATGTGTTACGAAGAGAAGACCAAACGTGTGGGACTTAATTTGAAGTTACATGTATGACCAGAAGTAAAACAAGGAGCCATCTCAGCATTTGCTCAAAGATCAGGGAAACTACAAAACCTGATCGAGATGGGAGTTATTGTCTCAGAAGGTTTAGTAGAAGTATTTTAAAAGTATTTAGTCCTAAAATATAGTAAATATTACTTTACATGTTATTCGTAAAATGAATATTACTTTCCTTTTGGGTGCTCGTTATAGTCTCTAATTGTATAGAAATAATTGAGCAGTAGAAAAGATTTTTCTTGGGACTTAAACATTTGTATCGAATTTAATCGATGAATGTCACCTGGCAAAATGTTGTAAATTAATCTACATGTATGTAAATTTTTTGTCGTGAGTTGTTCATACTGGCACAAGTACTGTAAAAGCAAACATCATATACATTTAATTTCAAAATTTTAATATTCAAAATTAAAACATTGCCCAAAATCCATCTGGTTCCTCTTAACATCTAGAGGAATAATTTGATTTGATACTGGCAGTGAGCCATTTTACTGCTTTTTCAAAATTGTCCGAAAGTACGAAAACATTTTTAAAATTAGCTTAAGATATTTTCCTTGGGAAAAGAGAATCACAAAGTGAATTCTATGAAGGAGACAAAGGCCGTTTTGAATCAAAAACAGAGTCGTACGAGTATATCTGCTCTTTCTTTCCGGTAGTGGAATGATAACGGAAGATCTTAGAAGTAAAATATGTAAAATAAGTTGTGAGGAGATGGAATAATGATGATATTTATACAATTAGTTCAATTTTCTTTTTGAAATCAGTTCCATATCGGAATCGATATTATGAGTGATGCTTAAAACAATTTTATGACGGTATTCGAAGGAACACGGAAATATGTGAACTATGTAAATAGTTTTATACTATTATTACAGATGATACGAAACCATTTGCTTTTGTTTCAGCATCACTAGTTTGATATGTGAGGTATAAATACATTGAGATGTAAAGTGACGAAACCATAAACTGACTGCCTGGTCTCGCAAGTTTCGCTTCCTCTACCAGGAGTCCCGGCCCGGGACTGGCCGTGCCGCCGCGCCAAGAGAGAGGGCCCTCAACGGGATGACGAAGCCGCGGGTGAAAGGGGGAGGGGAGCGAGGTGTTAACCAAATGTTACTTAACGACGCTCCTATTCATCCGATTTGCATGATTGACACACCGTTGGATTCAGGAAACATGTTGCCCTCGCGCTATAAGCCCACATTTCTTAATTTTTTTTTCGGAAGTTCAAGTACTAATTTCAAATTCGAGTTTCCGTAATAGGGCCAAATGCCAAAAAGTTCATTGGAAGTAATTTCAAGCAGTACATCTCAAAAATGCAATAATGATTACAAATAGCTGAAAATTAGCATTAAAGGTATGTTCCAGGATATTTTAAAAAAGTATATATTTGAAAAAAGCAAAAGAATACAGCAAAATTAATTTTATGTCATTTTAAACAGTGCAATTACCACTACCTGTACATAAAGTTTGAAGGAAAAAGTGGACCGTTACCGTGAAAATGAAATCATTGGCTTAGCGAATGGTGTGCAAAATACCCAGTTTGCAGCGGATTAGTAGGGTCCTTCAGGGTGCAGCTCTTTTATGACAAGTGTATATCAAAACTCTTATAAAGTACTAATCCGCTGTATAAAAAAGTGTTTAATAATTTTTTGAAAGTTTTGCCATGCTATGTATATATGAGGAATAAGAAACTTCCATTCTTTCTTGACAAAAACAGTGGGTACAGCTAGTTTTAAACTTCACTCTTTAGCTGATTTGGCACGGAATGACCCCAGTAGGAACCACCTGTCTAAAAATTCTTCATCCAGTGCTTGAAACAACACACGTGTCTGGTCCAAGAGTTTGTTCAGCTATGCTAACAGAAATTGCAAACAATTATTATGTCGCCCAGTCGCTAAAAATTGAAATGATGTATTCAGACGTTCCTCTAGTCGAATTGCCTTGTCTATTACAGTTACATGTTTAGTTAGTTTTTCTTTTACTAGCTCCAATAATTGTGTTAAATTTGTGTCATCCATACACAAGTAATTTTTAAAATCATCAGAATTATCGTCAAGCAGCGTGTGATTCAAATCTCATTTCAGTAGCCATGATTTGATCCATTTTGAACAAGTCCTTGTTCTTCTTCTTTTTATTACTATCTACCCCATCATTCCAATATGTAAGGAAGCAGTTTCGTCCATGTTCAAGTTAACAATGCACAGACTTCCTTCAATTTCAACGTTTAATCTGTCATGTTATAATATGGCAAAAGATCACCGATCACAGATAAATTAGTTAGATTTAACCAAATAGTCATTACAAACAACACATACATATAAAAAATTGGATTGATTAATTGAGAAGAAATATTGGTCCAATAAAACATTGCGTATCTAGATTAGGTACGATTCAACTGAGAGATTTATCTTCGCAATTTATCTAACGATTTTTGGGTAAAATTTATCACAACAATAAATTGGTCCATATATATCCCCCTATTGGTGGTGGTATACGTGGTAAAAGCGACATTTTATTTTGCAAGTAGGAAAGGTTGCAACATGAAGCAGATAGGCTAAGTAGCATAACCATACAAGCAAAATAAAATCACCTTTACCATGGGTGTCATACACTATATTTTAGACAGCCTAACTGGCTTTTATTTTATTTTAATTCAAGTTTACAAATCACTCAATTATACATTAAGGTTAGTAGCAGCTGATGAGGGGAGATAAATTATTTTTTCTTTGTTGCATTCACAAATTTATCTGATCATTTAGATCATCATCTCACTTTTAGCACTAATGCTAAAAATTGTGCTATAAACACACTACACATGCCCTGAAAGAACCACTTTTACTAATGGCTGTCTAAAAAAATATTTTCTAATAAATTTGGAATGGGGTTGTTATGGAATTGTACACCTCATTATATTAAATTTTAAAAATTTGGAAGCAAATTTATCTTAAAATAATTTAGTAATTGATAAGGAAGGTATTACATGCACCGACGAATTTTTTTTTCTCTTGAAATAGAAAAACATCCACCCGGGTCTCTTATGCCTAGCAGTTCTTCATCTTATCACGTAAAGTCATTAATGACCATCAAAATCAGGTGAATAATACATATACAATAAAGCAAATTGATAAGTAAGATTAATTATTCTCATACCTGAGTTTTCCCAAGAACCTGAAGTTCCTTTAAATGAGAAACACAAATATGATGAAGAGTTCCCAAATCTCTGGCTGGATCACCTTTAATACGTGTTTCTTCTGATTCAGGTTTTTCAGTCAAACTCTAAACATTAATGAAAACTCACAATGTATATGATGAAACAACAATTATATAGCCATATTAATGCACAATTACCCATTTAAATAAATAAAAATCATTTAACTGTTCAATTATACAAAAATATGCAGAAAACACTTCAATATATATTCATGGCATCAAAGAAAATAAGATGAAAGTCAACTCACAGAGAGCTGATCTAAGAATACCACCATGCGCTCCTTGTTTTTGAGAATAAAAGGATTAACAACTTCCATGTAAGGCTCTTTGCCTCCAAATTCTACCAAATTGGCAAGATTTTGAAGACATTTTGCTACCATAATTAGTGATCTTGCAGCCATTGGAGGTGGAGGTTCTGAAATAGAACAATTGAATTAAGACTAAACTATACATAAAAAGTTAAACTATCTCAAAAATATTATTTCTTATTTATATACAAGCCTATATACTGAATCTAATATTACACAAAATTAAATACATACAGGAATTGTAAACACAAGATTGCTAGGAAACCAATGAATGCACCTGAAAGATGTGCTAAGGTCACATGGGTTATATTGTCCACAGTTGCCTATGAAAGAAGGTATAGCGTATCTCATATTCGCCAGCACAGCATATTTTCGCAGCAATAAAAGGGGAAATTTTACTTGAAAATCTTTCTTACTAACTTTGTGGAAAATTAATAAATATAATTTATCCATATTATAAAAGCAATCCAGTTAGAACTATCAGTTACATCACTGAGAATTAGGTCACAATTTAATACTCGCAGAGAAAGTAATTGTAAACGCTCCCTCAAGACTGACTCTGAAGACAACATACAAGTATTAAGAACACCTAGAATTCAAAACTATTCCATATGCACATTCTCTTTCTTTTTAAAAATATAAAAAAAAAAGTTTGACATAAATAAGAATAAAAACAATTAATATCTTTTTAAATGTATTTCTACCTTTAACTTAAATTTCATACATTTTCAAATAATTGATGATTTCTTTAAAATATCAAAATCAATTTTTTACTTAAAAGTATTTATTTAAAACTATGTTTTGTATCTGTGATTCTTATTTTTTGTGATCTTGTAGAAATAAAAGTGAGTTTACAAGTTCTTCAAAAATGCAAGTAATTGAGCTTGACTTTTGAGTATTGCTACACTGATCATCATTAGTAATTGAAAAATATCAATATTTTCCCATTCTCTATTATTTAAACAATAATTTATTCATTTAACAGGTTGTAAAATTTTCAAAATAATACATTAGTGAAACATTATTTCACGAAGAATTTCTCATGTGCCGAACCCATAGGCAAATGTAAACTATTTATTCTATTTAAGTTATTTCTCATAAAAATTATTTATCTTCATTTCACATGAAACTCAACATTACTTATCTTCATAGTCAATAAAACAAAAATTCCAGAAGGGTATATTGATAGTTTTAAAAAATTATAAATTTAATCTAATCTTAAGTTGCATTTGTAGTCTAATTGAAAAATTATCAACAATTATAAAAACAATTTGCGAAGACCAAAAGCAAAATAAAGGTAATAAAAGAACTTTGACAACCCAAATCTGAAAGGGAAGATAAGGGAAGAAGGAAAGATAAAATTCACATCAAATGGTACATTTTACACTGGCAGTGCATGCAGATGGTCTGAGAGATCCAGGAAATCTTTACTCTATTATTGGGTTTGCAGTTTGGACGCTCCTGACCACTGTCTCCATGTACCATTTCCTTCAACTGAAATAAGTCACCCCTCTTCCGAAAAACTGAATATTTTCATCTTTTCTAGCAGCACGACAATCCGATCGAAACATCTGTGGGTCAACTGGTGGTTCAGAACAAAGTCGCTCATCCCACACTAAGGAGGCCCGGGTTTGATTCCTGTCGAATCCCAAACAATCTCATGTGAAACTTGTTCCAACAAAACTAATTTGTCTGCTTCACAAGGGCTAGTCCTAAACCCTACCCCAATTCTAATTCCTTCCCAATTCTGACTGCTGGGAAGTGACACAGGAGCATGTAATAGGAGGCGCGTACGCAAAGATGCTCCCTGGTGGTCCACTTTACAACTGACTGCACTGACACACAACAGATATGACATATTGAAAATATAAATGGAGAATTATTCCCGCGCTGATATTAATGCAGGATTACTCCAGTGAGTGTGAGTGTGAGTGTGAGTGTGAGTGTGAGTGTGAGTGTGAGTGTGAGTGTGAGTGTGTGTGTGTGTGTGTGTGTGTGTGTATGAGAGTGTTTTTTTTCTGCTATTCTCTATAAGTAGCAAAATGGTGATATACTCTTCTCCTCGGAATACACACAATGATTTTACAAACATTCACAAATGGTGAACCATTTTTAATGTTCAACCAAAACCCTTCCTTACATATAAAAATATAAAAAGTAGAATACAGAGCATGGCTATGAAAATCGAATTCTCAATCTTTCTTAGCAAAAAATATTCAGAACACTACGTTTTCTTGAACCCTTTAGGGGTGGTTTTTGTTCAGGATTTGTTGAAGGACAGAGAGTTGTGATAGATCATTACGTATATGACATCACAACATGCTTCTTAGAAAACAGACAATCTGTGTGTCAAGGAAATTAAGAAACTGGATAAAGTTTTATAGTAAACATTAACATCACACTGACAAAGCAGTCATCTTTTACAAGCAAACAATGCCTATTGTTTCTTCTCCTTTATTCTGAACTTCAATAGAAGAAAAAAGGGCATTATGTGTTTAATAATCCATACAGAAAATATTCAGTTTTTTAATGTGTGGTAACATAAGGCAAGGTAACAAGGCAAAAATAAAAGTTTTGAAGTATCAAAGAATTCCAGTAATCAATGTCCCTCTGCAATGATTAACTAGTCATTCAGAATTGTATGATTTTATTATTAGAAGAGCTTAGTAAGCGAAAAGAAAATATGAATTATTTAATTCATGTAACAAGTATAAAGGGAAAAAGAGGAAATGCTGTTCTTAAAACATTTTATTTTCTCCAGTACAGAAGAATTTTAATTAACCAAGAGAATAGATTTCATACGCCACCTGCATAGGAAAAACTTACCAGAAATTAAATTAAACTGTCGAGGATTCAGTATTGCAGGACACAAGAGTCGAAGAAAAATAAAACCACTCACAACTCTAGTGCGTACTAAACGTTCATGAGGCCATTTACTCATTACTGTCCGCTGCAAGCATCCACATATATAACGTACAGTCCTATAAAGAATCATTCATTTTCAATTACATTATAATGTAATCAAATAATCATCTTTCTTGTATCTAATCAACAGAACCTTACTTGGGGCATGCATCAGCAGACATGAAAATAGAAAGAGTAACTTCATCCAGAATCTGAAGAAGAAATTCAGCATTGGCACAAGCATCATCTGGCGATTCCATTTTGGTTGGATTTAACTGAAAAAATACAAACATATTTTTCATAAAATCCAACAATCTTTTCATATAACTTCCATGCTATTTGAAAAGTATTCTTGGGTGCAATGCAGACAAAAATGTCTTACCTCACAAGACTGTTTAGATTCCAGAAGTTTCAAAATAGTATCCTGAATTGCAGATTGGAGAAAACCTGTGCAAACTGACTTCATATATAAATCCATTAAGGTAGTAGTAAGTGAAGCAGCACGAAAAAGCGTGGATGTCTCTTCTTCTTTCTCGATTTCAGCTTCATTGAGTGTTTTGAGCAAATCAGCCTCTTTACGCTCATACCTAGGACAATTTAATTTGATAACATTATTGTTTTCTAAACCATTTATTATTAGAGGCTACAAAGAACTCTGAAAAGAAAGAATTAAAAATTTCTTGTGAACTTTCTTCGTACAGAAAATTCATTGTCAGCCTACAATGTGTATGTCACCATTTTGTTTATCTTCACCCTTCATGCTGATTATATCATAGTAACTGTTAGATCTGTTGTCCATAAATACATGATTATATTCAATTAAACATTCTGAACTACACTCACATGAATATAATTACATGAAAATATTAGTTTAAACATGGAAATTCGAGGGAATTTTTTGGAACTAGTCTCTATGTTAAGTAACAATGCTTGATAAAGTGACAATATATACCTTGCCTAATATATAATAATAAATAAGTAAATTGCCACTTGATCCACTTGGTGGCTTAATATCATTGTATAATAAAATTAAAGCTCAAAGTTCTATGGTTTTTGATTGCTAAAATAGTTCCTGACATATATTTTAAAACTCACAACCCTGCTCTACCTTTAGCAAAGGTGTATGTTATTTTGGAAAAACTTGCATCACCAATCTGTAGAAAGATGTTTTTCACATAAGATGTTAATCCTTGATGCATGTATTTTACAGTGTCTGATGAAGGAGAAAAAGTCCCTCTAAAACATCATGTTTAATATAATGAAATAAACTCTATTTAAAAGAAGGTGATTGTCAAAAATACTTTTCTGGACCTTGCTTCTATAAGTACTAATTTTGTACAACAGTAAATATAACCTAAAATCTAACACAGCCTCTCGACTCTCCTGGAAAAAATGTTTTACGACTCTCCTAGAAAGAAAAAAAGAGGTGGTTGCTGGATATATCTCTCTTTGTGGCAACTATTGAATTGTATTTTACTAAAAGGGTATGAAAACAACAATATTAAAATAATAAGGAATGAAAAAGCTCTCAAGAAAAAACTGACTAGAAACAAGTAAGGCCATTACGAATATTTTTCCTCCATAACTTCATTCATAAGGATTAAAATGAAACTGGTTACAATATGAGGCTTTAAGTACCTTCAAAAATAAAAATAAATAAATAAAATAAATAATAATAATAATAACAATAATAACAACAATTCATTTTATAATACATATTGGAGTACATTTTGGCAAGTTGGCATAAAATTCTGTTATCTAATTGTTATAACATGTAGAGAGTTGTACACATATTTAGCAATTGTAATCCTTCAAAATTCAATTATGAACTGAACAAGTTAAAATGAAATTGTTATGAGTATCAGACATTTTTTAATTTCAACTTAGATCATTTTAAAAAGTTTAAAATATACCTGAATATTCGCAGCAAAGAGTTAGCTAGAGGTACACGATCAAGGTGACAAATGTCAGCAAGGGCACGGACCACCTCCAATGATGGATCTAGCACCAATTGTTGCATAGGAGAGTATTCTTCTTGAGGCATAATAAGATCATGAACATAACGGATTCGTAATCGCAATGAACCCCATTCACCAATAGGTGTTATGCCTGACAAAGCGTACCAGTCCTCATTCTGTAAAGCACGAGCACATTTAAGTAATGCATTTACATAAACACATTTATTGACAATTACATATTTCAATTTCATGCAAACTTGGCAGAAGGCATGGGCTCAAACAAAGAATGCAAGAATCAAACAAACAAAAACCATAAGAATTGTCATAAGAAAAAACACATAGACAATTACTTTCCAGGTTGTTTAAAGATGTGTGCCAGTGAGTCAGAATTTTCCAAATACTATAGCAATGGTTTAAAAGAGGAATTTCATTAGGATATTCAATAGTGCTACAACAACACATTAAATCTCATACTCTTTGCAACAGTTACATAATATTATAATATTAGTTGAACCCATGCAAAAATTGTACACTTTTGAACTTAATTACATATGTTATTATGGGCAGCAATGATTTACTTCACATAAGGTTTGCCTCATCAGCTCAATAAATGCCTCTATAGGCATTTCCAACCTGCAAAAATATTTCTTGGAACTGAACTTGAGTACGTAGGTACAGTGGTCACCACTGTCATCTGTTATACTACCCCACTGGTTAGGTATATCAGGGTACCAAAACCAAAAACGAAGTTGACCTCCTCCAATATTCAAAATTCCAGAGATGTTAATGAAATTTGAACCTATGCCAAATAAAGCTAACATATCAAAAAATTTTAAAAAATATTTACAATCAATTTGAAAATATCTTTTTTCTGTAGGCTAAAGTATTGAAAACTGTCACAAGTTTTCTCAAAATTATGATACTAATATTATTCATATTTTTAAAATATTCTACATGACATTATTTAATGATCTCATTTTGAGAAACAAATTCCAAGAAAATGTCTCTAACTTCAATAACACAGTAGGATGGAGTGAAAAAACAACACTTTAACCATTTTCAAAATTTCACAAGTTATAACTCATTTTACTCACTAAGTATATAGACCATCATAATTCTATTATTTAATTCATTCTATGAGTGCATTGACTACTTATCTAAGTAATTTTCTGACATTCCCTGTGAAGTAGCTATTTGTTGGTTTTATATTCTTTATGTAATTAGCTTTATGTATTTTTAATGTAAGAATTCTAGTTATGTGACCTGTGTGACATGTCTACTTTACAATAATTATTTGTATATCTCAGGAATGACCCATTAATTAATAAATTATTAAATTAATATTTACATTACCTGCAATTTGTATATATTATAACATTTTTTAGTTACACCTGCTTCAAATTATGTCTAAGAAAGTTTCTTAAAAAATCAAATTTTTCTGAGAAAATGAGCTTCAAATTCCACATTTTCAGAAACACTCAAATGCTTTGTACAGATAGTGAAAATGAACATTTTCAAAACACTTAAATTTTTTGTACAGATAGTGCAAAATGCACTGATTAACATGTCATCAATGGTACATTGATTTATTCTTTTTTTTTTTTTCCTACAAAAATTACACAAATGTAATTTTTTAAAATGTTTCCAACATTGTAAATATTTACATTACAGACATCTTATACATTATTGAATCTGAGAGTACAAGTGCTTGAAATGATTTTTTTATGACATTTCTAGAGGACTTGAAAGTTTCAGGTAAAAATGAGTGTCAAAATGTGCATTTTCAGGAAATTTTCTTAAAAATAGCTCCAAATTTTTCAATGAAAACAAGCATACAGAACTAGATTTTATCCTTGTATAATATTCTTTAAGTCATATTTCCAATGTGTTTTATGCGCCAATAGATGGCACCTGAGAAGAGGGTGGAGCAAAACTGAATAGATAGTCCAGACTCAAGACATAAGGAAACTAACTAGTATGAGAAACTCTGAGCCATTTGGCAGCTCTACTAGTTCTATATGATGATTAGTAAATGAGAGAAGAAAAAAATTAGACTTTAAATTACTTCAGTATTTAATACCAAGAGGTTGAGAAATCATATTTTTCCAATTTAGAAGCAGCGTCAATGAACACAATCACTAACTTCCTTTCTTAGCAGTATTTTGTTCCCTGCTATTCTCACCCTGAAATCTAACACACCAGAAGCTTTGGAATGCATTGACATCTTGCCCTTTTGTTTTGCAACAGGATATCACGTTTTGCAATATTGACATTTTAATGCACTGCAGTCCCACAATTTTAGAGAGAAGACAGAAGAGAAAAAAGAGTTTGATAATGCTGAATTGTTTGTCTGTGTGATTTATGATAAAAACATATAGGATAAATGAAGAATTATACAAAAAGGATGCAGGAAAATTGAAATATTAAGAAATATATAAAAATATCTATAGTAAAATGTGTAAATATATATACTAAAAGTCAACATTTTTAGGCACTAACAATAATGAAATGTGAATACATTGTTTATTTAACTTGGCAAAGGAAATCGTGTAATTTCATAATTGTCCTGACTTGAGTAATAAGATTAACTAGTAATGGCTGGGATGTTTTAATATTAGGGATGGGTCCTCTTTTGATACCTCGATACTCAGATGGTATCGATAGCAATCTATACTTTTGGAAAATGACTATACTTTCAATATTTCATGCCAATACTCCATATCTTCTGATTTAACAGAATAACTATCTACTTCACATTCCTCTCTCTCCTGTGTATCTTCTGTCAGCAACAAGGTAGTGTCAGTCTGTTCAGATTCACATTGAATTAGCCAATGCTGCAATGTTCGGGTGCCATGCCCCACTCTTTACCACACAAAAATAGTCACTGTTGTGTTTTGAGTTAAGTATATATTGTTGAAAACTTTACAATAATAACTAAGACAAACTGTTAAAATATTTTAACGCTCGTTATTAGCTTCAACAGCTTTGAATACGTTTTATTTTCGAGGTATGGAATTTCATACTGTGGCTAATAAGGGAAACTTTTGTCACTTAAGCTGAAAAAACATCCCAAACAGATACTGAAGCCTATAATTAACATATAAAATGATTTGGAAGGTGAGGTGCTGGCTAAAAGTAGATAAGTCAAATGAGCTTGAGTTTGTTTTGCAACCTGCCACTGATGCAGTTGTGAGTGATGATGACGCAGGCAGTGATTTGGAGGACACTTGTAACTTAGGTAACGAGCGCACTTCACCAGATTGTGGAGATTCGGAGGAATTTAACAAATTTTGATAATGTTTCTTTTCGAAAGACGCTCATTTGAAGCAAACATACTCGTTGGCAAATTAGGTATAGCGTCAGGTTCTGGTCCTATAACTCCCCAGAAGGTTCCCTTATTAGGTTCAAACATTATGTAGTGGCTAAAGAAATAAGAGAACCTGACCATAGAGCAGAAACTAGTGTTAAAGAGAGAATGTGCTGCGGATTTCTGCCAGAAAAAGTATTATTTACAAAGACAATTTTTAATAGCATTAACTTACTTTGAAAGAGTATGTTATTGGTACCAATCAGACAGAGTGGAAAAAGCACCACTGAATGATTTGAAGATGGAATAATTTTCTCACCCCATATTTCCAAGGATCTGGCATAATGCTTGTCCGATGGCATGACAACAGACAAGTGACTATTGCAATAAATTTGGAGCCCCACAGACCAAGATGTCTGACTTCGCAGAAGATGGAGTTAAGCAAAAAAAGGGAGGATTACTATTCCAAAGCCTGGTTTGGCAAAATAATACAATAAATCAATGGGTGTTGTCGGTATGTTCAATAGACTCCGAAGTCTGTACCAAATCAGAAAAAAAGAGATGATACTATACTATATTCTGCTTCTGTCTCAATGGAGCAGAAGTGAATGCATTGTTTTCATTCAGATGCTTTGATTAGATATGAGTCTTCATTACATTAGGAAAAGATAGTAAAACCATTGATACAGAAACACTGGGAATATAGAAACCTTGAGGAGTGACACCTAAAACCTGTAAGTAGATAAAGGAGGAAATTCGTTATGACAGTGTAAGACCCTTGATAGACACATGTAAACAGAGAAAATATGCTGAGTGTAACATTTGCACAAGTCCCCAGTACATTAAGTGGAACGTTGATATGTATCCCAAAGGATGCTTTGCAAAATATCACCCACGCCTACAAAATAGCACCTATTGTACAGCTTAATTGACCATTTTCTATGTATTTTTCTAAAAATGTCATAATGTTGTATGTATTATGCACATAAGAAATATAAGTAAACATTGATTCAATCCAAACATACTTCCGGTCATTTTCCCTCTATTTGGCAACAGTATGAAATTTCATACCAAGAAAAAAAAACAACTAAATTTTGAAAAACAAAACAAATATCATTAAAATATGCAAGAAACTTTTTTAGTTACGGACATCTTTGCATTAATATTAACAAAATTTGCAATATTAAAATATTACGTAACTGTTACTAATGTAAGAAAGTACATGCTATTGTAGCCCCACTAGTTTCAATTGTTATGACAGTTTATATCTCATACTGAAATACAAAAATAAATATAGTTAAAATTATATACCCACTAATATGCCAATTAAATTAACATTGTAATTTTGAGTAAAATAAGACTATGCATAAAATATACTGCTGATAAATAAATGTATTCCATCAACGGAATACATTCTTAAAAGCATTCTTATGCAATTGATGAGTGTGAGAAAATGTTGATAATACATAATTTTGGAATAATTAAGGAGAAGACAAGAAATAAAGTTAATGAAGTGCCTTTGAAAACTATTATTCATTTGTTTAATGAGACCAAAAACATGCAAGACATTTTTTCTGAAGCAATGAACCTTCCCAAAACCAATGAATTAAACAAAACTGAATAATTTCTCAATTGTTTAGAAACCATTCACTTGGATTTATATGATTCGCTGAGTAATGTACACAATGCCCATTTCAAAATCATTCACCTAACCACGCAATTCATTGATCACCTTAACATAGTCAAGAAACATTAACTGTAGTTTATAATTAAATTCAAAGGTTACAAGTATGTAAATTGAAGTCAAAAGTTCAAAAGAAAGTAGATGAAGAGAGAATTGAGAATGAGAAAGGATGAGAAGAGCAAGGGAAAGAAAAATAACGAGAAGTGAATAAGATTAGAAAACAAATGTGGAAACAAGCAAGAGAAAATGAAAGGGAAGAGAGTAAAGCATGCAAATTGCCAGAAGAAAAAAAGAGGATAGAATTATTAGAAAAAAACAAAGCAGGATCTTATTATTAATAAATTAATAATAACAATAATATCTATAAATGTTGTACCATTTCCGTTACCTCATCTCCATTGGTTAAATTGCTTAATTCCACAGTCAGTTCTGCAACTTCTGTGTCTTTTGAACGTTTGCCCTTATTATAAACAGTTATTGTAAATGTTATCACATCGGGAGGAACATCACTAGAAACCAACAACATTATAAATTATCCAAAATATGAAAATATATCTAACAACTACACAGTTTTGCAATGTCCACTCACTCTAAAACAAATTCTTCATCCCACACAGGATCAGGCCCAGTCTTCACTTTCGTACGAGCAACTTTAACTTGATTGAGAGAAATGATACAAAATGGATTTGGCACCAATTTAAAAGGTAATCTACAAAAAGAAGTTCTCTCTTAAATCATATAATAAATGCAATGCAAAAATATCTTGAGAGTAATTACTACATTCGTATAGTAACATAATTACCATGAACAAATATTCTAAAATATGAACATTTATTATTTTAGTATTATATTACATATATTTACAAAAAAACAATTTACCTATGCGCATCAAGAACATGTAAATGCAAACACCGTAACTCCCGAAGTCTCTGAACTTTGGGAGACCTGGTTTGTTGCGTTACACACAATGGTTTCAGAGCTGTTATCCAGTCCTGTAGTAGAATTCATATAAAAATTACTTGAAGTCTTTACTTGAAGATGAACTTAAAAATATTTGCAACAAAAATTGTTCTTACAGACAGAATTGCATTATTTCAATATCTATCTATCTATCTATCTATCTATTTATCTATGTGTGTGTGTGTGTAAAGTGTTCCATTTATCGATCCCTTTCCCATATAAAAGAAATGAAAATAATTTAGAAAGTTATAATAATGTGTTTTGTTCAACGTGCAAAAATTTTATGAAAAAAAAAAAAAAAAAAGAAGAAGACGACGACATTTCTCACTAATAAAATAATGATCAGATATAAATTTTACTAATAAAAAATTATCATTGAATTCAGACAAAGCAAGTTGAATATATTTTAACCTGTAAATGTTGACGTGAAATATACCCTGTGCCTGCGTTTACATCTTAAAATTAGGCATGCAAGTGTAAGGATTAAATGTATGAATAATCATAATCCGTTAATAATTATTCTTACCTGAGTGAGATCTGCGGAATTAGAACACAAATAGGTGATAGTAGCTAAACAAGGAAGAGCTCTTTCAACCAATTGGAAACAATGAGGCCTGTCAAAGACACTGTCATGAACTTGATATAAATAAGCACAACTCAAATCTATGAGGCCTTTAGGTTTAGTGCGCTGAAAGAGAAACATATGCAATATTAGTACTAAACATTTCCAATGTTGCAATATTTCAAATGGCAACCTACATAATTATTTTATTAAACTATTACAATAAGTAAAAGCAAATTTTTCAAACATTTTGACATAATTCCTTTCACGTAGATTGTGTAGTCGTTAACAACTCCGTAAAACAAGTTTTTATCTGACCTTTGACATATGGTTATGTTATCAGGGTAGTCTCCTCGAAGAAATCAAAAGACTCAACACTCAAAAATGGCATATACATTTTTATTACTTTTATTTGAGTAAAAAGTTCAAAAAATATTTCACTACAAATGTTGACATTATTATTACATTATATTATTATTATATTATATTATTATTATTCTTTATATTATTATTATTATTATTATTATTATTATTATTATTATTATTATTATTATTATTATTATTGTTATTATCCATTCGCGACGTTTGTCATACGGTAGATTATACAGACTTCATGATAGAGACATGACATAGACTTCCTAGACTTCATGACTGAGATCCTTACAGGGTTCTGACAACTCAAAAAACACAAGTGCGTCAGGTCCACAAACAGTACTCAAGTGACTGAAAATGGAGTTATGAACAGAATGCATGACACATATTTCTATGTTGTTGTTTTCCCTTGATTAGAGGAAAGTGCGTTTATAAAACTGGCGTTAGTCCAATTTTCATTAAAATCACTGAAATTTTGAAAGTTGAAAAAGTTTTTTTAGACCGCCTCCGACATTTACATTTCAAAAGATGGAGAGTTTTCATGATGATATCAGTTCTCAAAAATGAGATCTTTAAACAATAATGTACAATATTTTGAGAATATCAATAGTTTTCACTCAATGTTGAGAGAAATCATGACAATTTAAAAAATTTGTAAACAAGATTTTCTCACTACCAGCTCTATTTTTTTAAGGAAATAAAGTGAAGTTCTTACAAATACAGCATGTTTGTTTTATTAAAAACTCTTTAGTTTTAAAACGGAAAAATATATTTTATTCAAACTTCTTTTGCACCTTTAATATTGAAGCTAGAGATATATTATTTAAAGAAACTATTTCTGAATATTAGATTATTAAGTTATTTCATAAAACTTATTTACAAAATATTCATAATTTTGAGCTACATGGTTCAAAAGTTTTCAAATGTGTCCAAACGTTTTAATATTGAAGTTAGAGATTTACTTATCAAAATTGAATATTTAAATAACTTGAAATAAAACAGTTGTTTTGAAATGTGAGTTGTTTTGGAGATTAAAGGAAAAATTGTTTGAAATGTCAAAGTGAACAAAACATTTAGAATAGTACTGTTTCTGCCAGTCCACACAGCTTGATGTAGTAGTCCAGGAGTCAATGACGAGGATATAATGCAGAGGCTCAAGTTCAATATCAAGGAACTGAGCAATACTAAGGAATATTTTTTGCATTCAGACCATTCTCCTAAGTAGAGCAAAGAACGAGTATTTATTTATTTACTTAGTTACTAAATACGTGAACAGAAAGGACAATCCTGATCATGTTCATGATATAACAAAGATATACACGAAAGATAAATATAAAATTACAATTTGGAAAACAGAAAAAATCGTAAAATAACAATGTATAGTTATAAAAATAGTTTTATGTTCATTATCATTAGAACCTGTTAAAAATTGCAAATTTGGATCTCCCATGCTTCTTTTGCTGAAGACAAGGAGTCTTTCACAAGATAGCTGAAGAGGTAGTTGGATACAGTTTGCAGTATTACAAGAACACATTATGAGCATTACGTATCTGTTGCAGATAAAAAGGGAAAGTATATCTTGCTGTAGATTTTTTCGATAATCTCAAAAGTTTTCACATCGTTGTGACTTATAATAGTGATAACAGCTGACTTTGTGTCAGGCCATAATTCAATTTGAATTGATGCATTTGCTTTAAAAGAATTACTCATACAAATTTATGTAATGTTCTAGCTATAATATTTCAATGTTAAAAGACAATAAGTTTGCAACCCAATTTTTATTAACTTATAAGGTGGTATGTTGGATTGTTTATAAGCTCTGGATGTTTAATTTACACACTTTCCCTTTAAAAAGGTTTGATTGCTGAGTGTGCTATAATCATTCAAATTTGGGGGCTCACTTTGAAGAATTCAAGGTAAGCTTGTATGAAATTATCCTGCCTTGTTTTCATAATGTGTGTGAATACTGTTACAGTTGTGATTTTATCATGTTTGTTTCATAAATGGGTACAAATGGCAACTGATTCTCCTACCAAACTAATAACAGGTTCGCATCTTATACGCAGGGCAGCAATTGTAAGTATTATACTATTACATAACAGTAACCACAAATAAAGAAAATATATTGTTGTAGAACCACTAGTTTTTTAATTATCAAGGATTCATATATATTCAAGGATAAGTAAGTTTTTTCCTTGAACTCTTGAAATTACATATAGAATTCTTTGGGCTTCTTCAGCTGAAGACATTTTTAACAATAAGCCTGAAGAATTAGGAGGATACAAGTTACAAATTATAATAATGCATGACTATTTCAAATAATAAGTGCAAATCAGTGCTGTTGTAGCACAACTATCTTGATAACTATGTTTTAGTAGTGCTACATCAGTATACATTCTCATATTGTAAGCAGTGGTAAAAACATAAATTATCTTTAATATTTGAAACTCCAGAAGTTTTCATGAAAATATCACTTCTGTCATTAAACTGAGTACTGTGAACACTTAAAAAGTTTAAAGAAAAAGAAAATTCCTTAGAATGAAATTAGAATTTTTTTCAGAAGCAACAATCTTGCCCCTATGCTAGAGCAGTTTTTATATAAAATGCTAAAATTATTTAATTCTTAATGTTGATTCTACGAAGCAAAATTGCAGTATTATAGCTCAAAATTACACAAAAAATACTGATATTCTGAAAAAATGTACTTGAATTTTTTTAAAGATCTAACATTGATGAATAGATTGCATTAAGAAAATTCTCAAAGTTCAATAATATATTTGGATTATGTTGAAAAAGTTTTCAACTTTTACCATTTTTAAAAATCAGACCTATGCCTTTTATCTTCCAAACATTTCTCTATTCAAGTAAAAATTTACTTAATAGAAAAAGTTTTGAATATGTCATAGAAGTTTCAAGCCCCTCCCCCTTATTTTATTAAATAATAAATGTTGATCTCAAATTCACAGGTCATCAAATGCAGCCAGATCGATGGAGATCCGCGCTAGTGTCCACAGAGGAACAGGCTGACAAATGGAGGGACAGTGCACTACATGGCAATTTAAATACAGAAAAAAATATTTGAAAATCACCTAAAATCATGTCTTCAAATTACTCACCTTGGGATTGTCGTAGAAGTACAAATGAGTATCTGTGCCATCAACCAACAGCACAAAGTACATTGACTTCCATTTCTTATTTTTTTCACTTTTCTTATTAAGATATCCCTGCATTTTTATACCTGCAATATGACATAAGATAAAAATAATTTAAAGAGTATGTAATCAGTATCACCAGAAAATTGCTCTTTGAAATTACCTTTGTTCTTTTTAACACCCGATTGCTCTCTACATTCCCTAAGAGTTGCATAAATTTTTTCAGCATGTTGCACTTCCTTAGGTTTAACAGTTCCTTCTCCATCAGCCATAGACTAAAGAAATTATTTCATTAGTATTAAAAGATTAGTATTTTAAAAATGTTATATAAATTGAACTCCACTTACCCTACCAACCGCCTGTACAAGAGTGTGGCCCTCTACAATCTGTTCCTTCCTGTATCGATTTATAACGGCATCTAAACATTCAAACGTCCGACCACCCATTAAATAACGTACTCCTTTTTTCTCAATTCGAAAACGCTGAATTTGGTTGTTTATATGAAAGAACAATGAATAATCACCAGGTGAATTATCACTTGGTCGAACTAGGAAACTACCAGGGCCCGCTGCAAACATATTAAAACCATCATGTCAATAAACTAAAAGCTCTTTTTAAAGTTTGTTGGATAATTCTCACACATCTACAAATATACAACATTAGCAAGCACCATCTCTCGCCCACCACAGAAGAATTTCCATAAACTATCATTGCAGAAGTATTATTTCATAAGAAATGAATTCTGAAACATTTCTAAAAAATACTAATTATGAAAGCTGTAACGATGCTCTACGAAAACTTGCTCCGTCAGTCTTCAAACAAACAAAAATAATATGCATAATTAATGTTACCTTTGACTAGCATATCCACTGCTTCACTTTTGGTAACGTTTGGGTGGAACCAACTAAACACAGTATTTGGATCAATATTTTCATCCAGATCATCTACTAGGTCTCTAAATATCATCCCTTGTTCACCTGTACGATGTGCAGTAACCCACAACCATCCATCACCCATGTCGTTGTGTACGAAGAAAATATCTCCTTTCTGAAAACTGCAGATTAAAAATAATTTGAGAGTCTCTTTATAACTATCATTCAGCTAAGAATTTGATGAAAAAATATTTCATGCATCAGAACAAACAATTATTTTCAACAGTAACTTATCTAACTCTACAGCTGACACACATAAATGTGTGTATCGTCAACATTATGTTTTAGTAACTAGTTATTTATAATTATCACCTTTCCCGGCACCGTGTTCTGTGCAACAAGACCACGGTTGGTCACCCAAGCAGGGCTACCAATTGTTGGAACAAATTTAATAACTAGTTACAGTTATCTAAAATTATTTTAAAAATGAATATTTTAAATAAACATCTGCCAAGCTTACATTTAAATATAAATATGTGCATAAAGTGGAATTTATAATCTCAATTCTCAAGACTACTACTCCACACTGCCCTAACATGAAATCTTAAAATTATACAAAATATCTTATTGTAATGTTTCAATTAATATTATTATATGGGTAAGGTCCCCGGGGGAGGGGGGAAATACATTTGTCACAATTTTTAAGTTAAAAGACTCCAGAAATTTTGTATAACAAAGAATGCAAATTTTATTTAGAATAAAAATAATAACAACAAAGACCTTTTGCAAGGAAACAATTGTTTTAAGCCAGTAATATACAGAATTAAGAAAATGTTTTTCATGATTATACATCATCTAGAATGCATGATGAAAAATGCGTTAGATGATAAAAAATAGTTTACATGTTCTGAAATAAAACATTAATTAAATATAATTTTCTTTGAGTATAAGTGCATCCTGTGCTTGTCAAAATATTTGATGCAATAGGAAAACAGCAACTGAAATATCAGTAATATGTAACAGTTCCGTTTCTGATTAATCTGAGGAACAGGAAGGCTCACAGATAACAGTGAACTTATCAATTCGTATACCGTTAAAGAAAGCTTTTTGCTGAAACTCTGATGTTAATATAAAGCTATAGCAATAAAAAAAAGATATTTTATGGAGCAAGATGTAACTGCCTTATCACCAATTGTAAATGAAAAAAAAAGAAAACAATGAAATAGATCATTGCAAAGTCTTCAGTTAAAATAAGTTATTGATTATAATCTAGTTTTCACTTTCATTATAAATAGTGATTGATATTACACGAGTCTAAACAAACATCTGTAAAGAAAATTGGTCCCATAAAGTGTATCAATCTAAATACTAAAATTATTTACTGTAATGTACTAATTAATTTACTTTAACTGTGTATGTATATATAAAACACATACACATATATATTTATTTATTTTGGCCTCCCCCCCCCCTCAAATAAAAAACAACAGTAGAAGTGTTATAATGTTTTCATGAAATACACAGAAAATTCTCAACTATTCAATTATGTTACACTACCATGATGAACACACCAATATTCTAATCACCAATTAGTTAGCTCCACTGATCAAACTTTTTAGCCTCACCCATTACAAATGAAGTAGGTATTGCATGTATTAATAATTTCAATGTATGCAATAAAGAACAATAATACATACGTCTAATGGTTTTCATATGTAAAGCAATGCACAATTTATATATTTCCAATTACCCCAGTTTATTCAGTCTTATTAGTTTTGCGATTGTCAATTGCACTAGGATATTGAAGAAAGATCCTTGAGGATGCACAAATGTTTGAATAATTATTGAAAATCGTGATCCATTGAAGATTGTGACAAACTTCCATACTAGACATAAAATTAACTTCTCTTTATAATTTCCTAAAAAAAGAGAAATTACTAACCTGAGTTCATCAGTATCAGGCATTTTAGTGTAAGGTAAAATAGCAACCACTCTCTTCTTGTCATTTACAGGCTCTGGGGGAGGTACTGGATGAATGAGCCTCTCTCTCTTCAGTAAATCAGAACAGCTTGTATAATATCCTATGAGATCCGACAATGAATCGAACTGCCTACCACCAATATAAAAATCTCCACACACTGCAGTGATTCTGCAACGGATAAACAAGACACATTACATCCGATCATGTCTTCAACCATTTCGCTATCAAAACTGTTGACACAATGATAACCTGAAGTGATTTATTCCTGTTCTTCCAAGGTATGATAGGACATAGGAGCCAGGTTTCCTATCACTCTCTCGAACAAGATAACTTCCCATTTTCGCTGCTTGCCACAATCGTTCCTCCGCAGTGTAGCGATCTAACCGCCCATGGTACCATCTGAAACGATTACGACCACTTCAATCCATTTCATTCCAAAGGCGTAGAACCCACCTTAAGTAAATCACGAAGTATTTTCAACCCGAAGAAACGTCATTCTCTTGAAAATTCAAGTAGACGATGACTTACTGATTTTCTGGGGGTGCAACAACAGTGGTGGTGTTGGTTGCTTCTGTTTCTTCGACGTCCCCCAAAAAGGGATCAAATTCTTCTCCAATAGCACCATCATGTCCCTCATCGCTACCAGTACTAGGTGAACCCTGCAATTTCTCTTTCGGTAAATTTACACCAGCCACAGGTCCACCCCTCACAAACTCAGCCATCTTGGCTTCAACCCAACCTCTCCACCTCAAGGAACTTTATGTTATGGATTAACCATTCCCATGTGTAACACTCGGACCGGTCCGATCTTTCTCTATGACAGAATCAGCTGTTTAGTGTCAGGACGGGCGCGAAATACGTTATTACTTGCCATGTTATTGGTATTATTAAGATATTATTAGTGTTGCAATGTCGGTGATAGAGGATGCGAGGATTAAAAGTTAGTAATATTTCGATATTAATTGTGAATTTTAACATGATGGTGACGTGATTGCTAAAAAGTTGTATTTTCAGGTGTGTTTAAGGAATATGCACTTTCGAAATGTTCTGGTGATCTGTTAAATATAATGAAAGATGCAGATGAAATGAAACATTATTCTGTGGTTATAAGGTATATAGATGTATTGGAGTAAACTACTTAAAGTTTGTTTTGTTGCATCAAAATTTTATTTAATTTTTGTTTGTTTTCCTTTAGATTTGGGTCCTTATTTGAAGCAAGTACAGAAATTGGTAATGGTATTTTGGCCAACCCAAATCATTTCCTTCCATTATGCGATCAGGCTCTTTTGGATGCTGAAATTTACCTTTTAGATGAACAGTCTGAAGAGGCTAAATCTGACTTAATTGTTAAAACAAGGATTCATGCTCGAGTAACAGGTAAAAAATTCCCCTCTCAACTATGCATTTTGAATCTCTAGTTGTATATGAAGAAATTGGCACAAAATTTTGCTAATTCACATTTTTGTAATTTTTGTCAATATGAAAAACCACAGAATTTGTGAATCCTGGCGTCACCCAGTTTGTGCATATGCGCCTTGCTGCTTTCTATGCACAAACTGTAGTTATGGTCACATTCATAGAGTGTTTGGATCATAATGTTTGTTTTTTGAAATTAATTCTAAGATCTTTACTTTGAATACATGAAATGTGCTATAGCTCTGTCGTTCTGACCCTTTCATACTTATTTTTATTTTATTTTATATACATACAAAGTCCAGCAAGTGTTTCATGTTTCTAGTGAACCAATCATATGTATATATCACATTATTGATTCACCATTCAATTTATTTCACTATCCATAAGTCTACACTGATCAACATTAAATATATGAAGTTTAATATCAGTAAAGTTAGCTTTAAAATTGTTTAATTGCAATGAGTTAGTACTGCCTCCCCCAAAAGAATTCTTTGTTACACATAAAAAAGAAAATTCGATGAAAAGTGGTAATGATGTGAATTCATAAAATAAACAGGATTGATTAATTTTATAATGTACTGTGCAGACTTGAATTCTTTAACTAATCATTTTGAGATAGAATATAAAGGATAAATATATGTCAGTAATCATGATTTAGGATCTAATGATACAATAGAAGTGTTATTTGAAATGTTTGGGCAATTAAAGCCACCAATTAAAAACATTTCTTTTTTCCAATACACCCTTGTAGATTCATCATTTCATTTACAAAAAATTCAAGTTCAGATACCCCTATTGAAGGAGGTAACACATACTGCAATTGTTATTACAGTTAACATGACAGTTACAGTAGCTTCTTGCTTTGAGAATTGCTAAGGCTTGTTGCTATCCTATGTAATTCTGGCACAAATTTCAATGATAAATTTTGGTCATATGATTCTCTCACTACAAAAAGCATATTATTTTTGTGTCCTAATGTTATTTATTTGCTCTGCAGATTTTTCTTGGATTAAATGTTGTCTTTTTAATTTTGTACGAAAGTACATAATCATAAGATCAGCTAGAACGGGGGTGAAATCCCAAATTTCCAACAATGGGAGCTTTTATGCTAACAACACATTAGCTTGTAAGCACTACAAATCGAAATAAAAGGTGTAATCTTTACAAACATATTTATATAAGACAGCTTTGGATGTCTTCGCCCTCATATCATCTTCAGATCTTTTGCCTTGGAGTCAGAATTAACTACAAATTTGAATGTAGTTTTGTTTGTGGTCAAATTTTGGCTTTCAGATGGTAGATCTGAAGATCATTGCTTATCATCAAAAGCTTCTAATCTTTTGAGAAAAAGAATTGGTAAAAAATAACACCTTTCTGTTTATATTCAAATCCCAAGAACACACTCTGAGTAATACCATATACACTATTGTTGGCAGTCTTACAATGAATGTGAAATACCATGAACATAAATTCTTACATAACAGCCCCTTGATTGAAAAATTATCAGAACGTACTTTAATAGGAGTGTAAGGACTAAATACAATGTGGTTTTCTGTAAAATTCGACATAACAGAAAATTATGTCAAAAAATAATACACTTCCACACCAACCATATATTGAAGAAATAGTTCAATTAATTGATGAAACACTAACAGTACTGTTTCTGTTTTAGCTTTGCCGGTTTGCCCAGAATTACATCGTAGCATTTTTCCACGCAATGATGATATAGGTAGTTTTTTGAGATTATCAGGCACTATAGTGAGAATAACTTCAGCCAAAATGTTGGAATATAGAAGGAACTACAGATGCACAAAATGCAAGCATAATTTTATTGTGAAAGTAAGTAGACAGATTGTATTGAACATACTATTAGGTGAAATAATGAAAATAAAAATTTATCAATTATATATACACACTATCCAAAATGAAATTTCATAATTTCAGGCAGATTATGAACAATATTATATCATACAAACACCTAACATATGTAGGAATCCAGAAGGTTGCAATGGGACAAAAATTGTTCCAGAGAAGGGCATAGAACAGGCCAATTATATGGACTATCAAGAAATTAAAATTCAGGTATGATGTAAATCTTGTTTGTTCACGTTTCCTAAAACATGTCAATTGACAATTATAATTAAATTACTCATGTAAAGTGGAAATCCAAAATGTTCTCTTACGTAAAATTAAAACTACGTTTATGTTCACAAATTGCAGACCACTACTGTTACAGATGTTCTTTGAATAAAATTAGTTGGAGCCACTGTTAATAAAATTTATAACATTTTGGGAACTGTTTTTAACACTGGTAATTAACAATTTTCGTAAGAATCATTGTTGCAAAGTATTTTGAAGTTAATGCTACATTACTACTGTATGGGGCAAAACTAGAGGTGTGACAACATAGCACAAACTTAGTTAATGTTTGTAATTTCTAAGAAAAATTGAATTTCAGGATGTAGATCTTACAAATAATTAACCCGGCAGTGCACGCACCGGGTCTGGGAGACCTGGGAAGTCTTTACTCTAATATTGTGATTGCAGTTTGGCTATCCAAGACCACTGCTTCCAGGTACCTTTTCCTTCGACAGATATGAATTACACCTCTTTTGAGAAAGGGAGTATTGTTATCCTTCTAGCGGTGAGACATATCAAAACGTTGCATGGGCCTCAGAGATCACCTGTGGGCATTCGTGCAACAGCTTTCGTTAATTTCTTTCTCTTTTTTTTTTTTCTCCCGGTACACACCTCTGATAAAAATCACTATGGGAAATCGAATTAAGGGAACTACAAGCAGAAGGGTCTGTAAGATCAGGTGCGTGCACTGACGCTACGGAAAGAGGTGTATGTACTGACAGGTTAATAATCTTCAAAGGATTCTTAAAGTTCTATAATTAATTCTTTAAGTATAACAAGATAGTTTTCAGAATTAAATTTTTATAACAATCCTCAAAACAAATGCAAACATGGTACCTTGAATTATTTCTAGGAAGTAAATGTAGCATCTCTCTTCTAAAATTTTACTATTTTTTGACAAATACATTAAATCCAGGATACTAGTGGCCATGGGACAATAAATAAACTGGATCAGAGACTTCATTTATTTAATAGAATATCATATAAGGATAATACTCAATATATTTCATAAATCATAAAGAATATATGTCGAACGTAATTACTTATTTCACCCTAAATAACGTTCAAAGAACTTTTTTTCTCTGTACTTGACGAGCTTTAATTGGACCTTTAACAAATATGAATTCTCTCTGTTCATGTTGTGTGTGTGAAATAAACTACTGGTAATTAAAATATTGTTCCAGAACAATTAATTATATTGTCATTACAATGTCTTAAAAAATGGTTATTTTCATTATTGCCCATCTCTTTTGCGCGGTTATTATTATGTGAAATTTTCTTCACCTTTCTTTAGGAACAAGTTGCAAAATTAACTGTAGGAGCCATTCCACGATCTATGTGGGTTACTCTTGAAGATGATTTAGTTGACACATGTAAACCTGGTGACGATATTGTTGTTTGGTAAGTTAAACGAGTCATTTTAAGAAAAGTAGTAGTATGTAGTGAAGTTACTTTATGAAGTGTGGGAATACCTTGCTTTCTAGTGGTACTGTTCAACGGAGATGGAAACCATTTTCAGATGGAAACCGTTCAGATATTGATTTGGTATTTAAAGCAAACCACCTAGAAGTATGTAATGATCAACGATCATCTATACTCATTACACAAGAAACTCATGATGAGTTTGCAGAATTTTGGCGCAGAAATTCACATCAACCTCTTGTTGCAAGGAATCTCATTTTGCAGTCTTTTTGCCCACAGGTAACTTGATAAAGAGTATGGTTCATAGAATGCTGTATGTTAAATATCTTTTAATTTGTCTTTCTCTGAAATAAAAAATCTTAAAGCTGTTTTCTCATAATATGGAATTCTTGTCAAAAAATCGAGTCTTTAAAAAATCATTAATTTACATTTTGGGAGAAAAAAAAGAAGAAGTTCAAAACAATGTGGAGGAAGTGGAATAATTTGAAGGATTCACTGAAAGTTTTTCTTCTTATTCTGTTAAAACAAATTAGTTTGATCAAAAATATATTGTGACTTCGGTCAACCAGAACTTCTGACCCTCTTTGGTATACTTTCTCACTATTTTTAAGAAAATCGTGAAGAACTACAAGAATGCACATATAAATTTAGTTGGGGAAGAAGTTTCATAACGTCTTATGCAAAAAGTTACTTTTCATTTGAAGTCAAGAGCAAAGGTTTTTATTAAAATTGAAAGAAAAAGAAAAAAAATCAACAACCAAGATTAGCACAAAAAACAAACACTTGTTATAATAATATAAAATAATGAAGAAAAAAAATTGCCTATATTATGCCTGACAAAATACTCGCTCATTATGTGTCAGTGAAAACTTCATTGAAATTCATTTAGCACTTCCCACAATTACCCCTGACAAAAAGTATGCAAGCAAATGAATGTCATGATACATCATATGAAGACAAAATAATTTTTTGAAACTTCAGGCACACTTCAAATTTTATTAGTATAATTATTCTAAAAATACTTCAGTATTATCATGTCTGCATACACAAACCCCTATTCCTCTTGAATTTTGATTTTAAAGTTGCTTGATCCCCAATAAAGTGAATGAACTTTTCAAAGGAAATTGCTACAAGTCATAACAAAGAAATGAATTTGAAAGATTATATACGAGCAGTGGTTCCTAAACTTGTCAGTGGAATCTTCTCAGAGCAAAATCTGCTCGCAACACTCACAGACAGTGTCCTGAAATAACTCTCTACATAATAACAAAATTACAAATTTAACTTTGTAGAATGGTGTTGCAGGAATAAAATATTAATAAAACACTTCAGTTTTTTTTTAACATTTTAATTTGCCACTGACCCTTCTCAGTGGTTCCAGAAATCCTTTAGCTAATCTACATTTTTTTGCATATTATTTGTCATTCATGGTACAAATTAAATACACTTGCATGTACTCTTTTATATTTCCTGATAGAAAAAGTATCTGTCAATCTGAAGATTTTAATTCCTTATTTTATATAACATGGAAAATTTTGAATTTACAGGTGTATGGTCTTTACCTTGTGAAATTAGCTATAGCAGTGGTACTAACCGGTGGAGTTCCACATCAGGATGATTCGGGTTGCAGAGTACGTGGTGAATCCCATTTGTTATTAGTAGGGGACCCTGGTACAGGAAAATCACATCTACTCAGATTTGCAGCTAAACTGTGCCCACGATCTGTGATGACAACTGGAGTGGGTACCACCACTGCAGGACTTACCGTCAGTGCTGTTAGGGTAATTGTTATGCAAATATTATCTCAAATCACAGCAAATAGTAGTTTTGGCAATACAAAAATTGAAAATAACTCAAACCACCAGCCACTTCGTAAGTTTCATTGACGGTAGCAAGTGCAGTCTCCCTGGTACTCAATTTTCTTTTTTTAAGTGCATTAATTGCAGTTTTGAATTTCAGGAAAGTGGAGAGTGGCAACTTGAAGCAGGAGCATTAGTTTTATCAGACGGTGGAGTATGTTGTATTGATGAATTTAACTCTATTAAAGCTCATGACAGAACTAGCATACATGAGGCTATGGAACAACAGACTATAAGTGTTGCAAAGGTATGCTCCTTTATATGAAGAAAAATAAATATAAAATAATCTCTATTCAAAATAGTTTCAAGAATTTTGTATACAATATTCATTATGGTAGTGAAACTTTAAATCACAATTGGAGCAATACTTCAATAAACTAAAAAGCGCCAATTGATTTTGATGAGTGCATTTACCTCTTCATGTTAAAAGTCATTAAATCAGGGAATACATTTCTGTGAATATGGTTTCAAATTAGAAAGAACAAAATGTAACCATTTTGTGCACAAGGGAAAAGTCATTACTTTCATTTAAGATGTCTCAATTTGTCAGTTTCCAAAATTTTGAAGGAAACAATACTCTAATATTTAAAAAATCAATTTTTCAGGCTGGAATAGTGTGTAAATTGAGCACTAAGTGCACAATTATTGCTGCAACAAACCCAAAAGGTCATTATGATCCAGAACAATCCATAAATGTTAATACCGCTTTGGCAAGCCCCCTTCTTAGTCGGTTTGACTTAGTTCTGGTACTTCTAGACTCCAAGAATGGTGAATGGGACAGGTATGGCTTTAAAGAAGTGAAATAATTGATATAACACACTTCAGTATATTAACATATATTATTGCTAGTGTGTGTGTGTGTGTGTGTGTGTGTGTGAATTGAATGAGAGTGATTGTTCTCACTCCCAAATAATGTGATATTTTCATTGGAGGAAGTAGTAACATTTCAAAGATTGCTTGAATAAACACAAATTATGTGACTTTTTTTCTTTCACTTCTTCAGGTGGGTTGGATTTAGTATGTGAGTGAACTAACGTTACAGGGACAATTATTTATAATTATTGTGGCCAATGGTGTAACCCTTTCCTACATTTTTCATATGTCAAAACTTACAGTAAATATTAATGACTGATGTTATTTATCTTGTCTGTTAAAATTATATTGTCCTTATAATGATTAAGTACTGACAGGAAATATCTACAATGAGCTAATTGGTTTTATCCTTACTGCATCGTTCCTCACATTAGAAAATTGTTCTCCAGTGAATTCATAAGATTGTTGAATCGATTCTAATATACTGATTTAATATTTTGATGCTGTACTGAATTTTTGGACACGACTTCCAGGCCTTCAATCAGCTTAATGCATAAACATCAACATTTGAGTACTGAAATAGTACCTATACAATTCATAATCAAGATCAATTAAAGTATTATAAAACTATGTATACAAGAAAAAAACATTGATAGACAATGAGAAGATAAATGTCGAAGAGAAGGAAAGATATATAAGAGCTCAAAGAAATAATTGGCACAAAAGATCAAAAGTGCTGCCAGAAAGAAGATGGACTAAAGAATGTTTGTGGGAAGATTAGCATAACAAACTAGGGAAGAAGATGCAAAAGAACATCTAGGCAACAGAGGAATAAATGCAGAAATATTTTGCACAGAAATTGAGGCAAAATTTAATATTAATAAAGCCTTTAAATTAGGAATCAAATTTGAAGAACTAGACACAGAACTAGAACAACCTGACTTTTGGCTACAGGAAATAACCCCCTTCATTCTCAAAATACAGAAGATATGGTACCCGAAGTGAGAGTCCATCCAGATATCTTAATCACTAGAATGAATTGTACTCAAGAAAAACATTAAATACTGATAATTGGAACATGGAAGGTAAAAGGACTAACAAACAAAGAAGAAAACTTAGAAATGGAGCTAAAAGAAATATAGAGATGGCTAAACGTCAAAAACTGAAAAAGAAAGGAAATGAGACAGGACAGGATTGCTAAAGAAATGGCTATTATTCTCAGGAGTGAAGAGAGACCTGAATTAAAAACAAACATGGAAATATAATTTAATCAGACTTGTAGCCCAATTCTTTTCCTAGTGTTTTCCTCTTTTCTTGTTCTTAAATTTAGTTTCTGTGGTACTCAAAATAAGTTGCAAGTAATGCTCAAAAATGTTCATCACTAAAAAATTGTTTAAAATGAAACAAACACATCATAAGTATTATCTTCAGTCATTATGCCACAAGAGTGAAGTGAATTTCATAATCATTAGAAGCAATTCACAATTGGCATCTCATGTTGGACATAGTACACAGGTATACTAATATATAACTAACATGGTATTTTAAAAGGAACATATAACCTGCATGACATCAGTACATGTTTTGGTTCAGTCATGCAATGACAAACCATTTTCCTGTATATTTTCTGTGCTTGATATTCCCATGTTTTTCATGTTGTCCCTATTTCTATGGAAATTGGTCATCCTCATTAAGACTGAAGCGACTTAATACTACCTAGGATACAAATTGCTAAAATAAGACTATGTAAAGGAGCTGGTCTTGTTAGTTGCCATAGATAGGCTTTAATTACAATCCAAATAAATAATTATGATCAAATGACAACAAAGCTGTATTTCAGGCAACTGGTTTAAATATTATATTGTGTTGAAGGGATGCTGGCCAGTTATAAATATAATTACATTAGATTGCCAGCGTTTCGAAATGTACTATTTTTCAATTTCAGAACTTTTATAAGACAAGGCAGTTGTATTCATATACTGCTGGGTCAAATCCTGAAACTTAATGCTATTTTATGTCATCACACCTTACTCTTCTAGAGCACAATGTTGTATTGTAGTAAGCCTTGAAAATATAATATACTGTCAAACATTGGCAATTTAAAACAGTTGTAACCTGACCAACATCCCATCAACAAAATTTAGTATGACAACAATACTGTTAATTTTGTAATATTATTAATCTATAAATATTAATATAGATAGTGATCATTGACAGGATGGTGATAGACCTGGAAAACTAGAAATTGACAGGGAAAAGTTGATTATTTACTTTTTTTTTTATTTCTATGGGATAAAAAAAATGGTAGTGATGAGATGAGAATAAGAAATTGACAGAAATAAGGCAAAGGACATACTTAGAATGTTTTTGAAGAAATAATTTTCTTTTTCCTGTTTCCCAAGATAATGAAAATTCTTCAAATTTTTCTGTATACATTAAAAAATTAAGGAAAAACATACCTAAGGAATTCAGAACCAAACATAGTAGATGACATTCACCGAACACCTGTCTTCTTACATTAATTCTAGGCACCTGGGTGCCAGTGTACAGAAGTTCTTCAGCAAAATGAATATATTTAAAACATCAGAAAATATTTTTCACAAGGCCTTGGCAGTTGATTGAATAATGAAATCAATTTATTGTACTCTACAAAACATAAAGTTGTTTGAATCTCAACTCAATTTTTCCAATTGCATTTTTGTTTCCTTATATCTACTTGTAGCATGTTTCCACACACAATTATTTTAATGGGTCCAATCTCTTCTTAATCTGGAAACACACTGTACAGTAGTTTATAGAATAACCATTTTCATGTTTCAAAACACGTTATTTCTTTGCCAGTGTGAATGTGATTTTAATTTTTAAATATAAAAGTAATATTCTTTCATTGAAGTGATTCTTTTGAATCCTGATTAGTAGTATCTCAAGCTTCCTGTAGGACAGTCATAGTGTAGTAATATTCATAATTTGTTGTTCAATCTAATTATAAGGTTGGTTTCCGGCTATATTCTCCAAGGGAAAGATCCACTGAAAGAATATGGTATCAATATGGGAGAAAAGTGTGAAGAACTTTGGAGTATAGAAAAATTACAAGCTTATTTCTGTATTACAAAACACCTTCGACCAACATTCACAGAAAATGCTAATATTATCCTGAGAAGATATTACCAAGCTCAAAGAAAAGCTGACACTAGAAATGCTGCAAGGACAACTGTCAGATTGCTTGAAAGTTTAGTAAGGTAAAACAATTTTTCTTAATTATTGTAACTTTAGCTGTTGTCAGACACTGGTTTTAATTTCTGTTAACATGATGCCCTTAACTGCAGTAAATTTGTTCGTTCACCTTATTTTTTAAAACAAATCTTTACTTAAATAATAAATTTTAGATATTTCTTACACCTATTATTGTTTTTAATCAGTAACATTTTTTTTTGAAGGATGCAAGGTGGATGGTGCTTGACCAGTTTTTAAAATTATTTTTGGTACTGCAAAGAAATGCTATAAATTGAGCTATCTTCTACATACATACATTTTTATTGGGGTTGAATAAGTATTGGTTCTACATCTCTGTATTGTTATTGCCATTTTCAACAAATATTAGAAATTGCAATCGTTTCTACGTTAGTGTAGTTGTAAATCAGTTTCCAGCCACTAATTACTTCTCTTAGTCTACCTATGACTCTGATTTATCATGGTTTTAGAGATGATACCCAATCTGTACTACTTTATAAACTGCATATCAAATGCCTTTTGATTATTCTGTTGTATTATATAAATTACCTGACTTCTCTGAATATTCTGAATGCACTTCTTGAATATAAATGCCACTGGTTGTATTCCACAATTTTATTTTTTATTACAATTTTGACTCAAGATCCCTACAAAACTCATTTTCTCCTCTAATGTCTATCATTAAATTTAATCAAATGTCCTCGGAACTTTTCTTCAAACCACATATAAATAGTAAAATATTCTGTTCATCGTCACAATCTGAGCTAATTTTTTCTTGACAGGCTGGCACAAGCACATGCACGTCTGATGTTCAGGGAACAAGTGACAGTTCAAGATGCAATTATTTCTATATCTCTAGTGGAATCCTCAATGCAAGGTGCAGCCCTTCTGGGAGAAGTTAATGCATTACATATGTCATTTCCTTCTAATCCCATGGAAGCATATTATAAACAAGGTAACATGATTTTTTGATTTCTTGGTATCATGATCATTATTTGGTAAATAATTTCCCTCTTGTGTTTTATTTATTTTAGCTCAGTTAATTTTGCAGCAACTAGATCTCAAAGATATTTGGGAACAGGAATTGCTTGTAACCAAAACCATTAACACTCAATCCAGCTCTAAAATATTAAATCAGACCCAACACTGCTTGTCATCAGATGAAGGCAGTGACTCTGAGGGTCATACAAGTTCAGATGAAGAGAAATACGAAAAGCAGCATGCTGAAAGACTAATGCCAAGTGTTATTTCCCATAAATTTTCATTTCCTTCATCGAAATCTTTAGCAGTCTCACAAAAGCTGAGTGAAGTTCTAGAAAATATACGTCATCGTAAAGATCAAAATGCGTGTGAAGCTGTAGATTATGCAATCTCTCATAAAGTTAGCAGGAAGAGAAAGAGGAAGAGCAAAGACATAAGGGAAAGCATTAAACAACTTAAAACTCATGCAATTATTAAAAATAAAAATGTATCAGAAGACTTTCTGAAATTACCCATCATTCCCGAGGATGACGCAGAAGCACAGACATCTGATCATGTTATGCTGGAAGAGGGAAACAAAACCACTAAAAATATTTTTGATCTCAAAACTGCATTTCAGTTCACTAAAAAATGTAAGGCAAAATTGAGACATTCACAAAATTCATTCTCTACAGTGTCTTTAGAAAGCAATAATAACCAAATTTCAGAAGTAACATCCCAAGATCTCTCTGTTAGTGTTAGTAATGGGTTTAAAGAAATAACCGAGTCAAAAGGTGACAATAGAAATGAGAGATTAAAAGAATTCAATGAAGGTGAGAATTACAAAACTTCAAGAAGCTCCACAGATTTGGTAGCTGATCTTGGAACCAAATCCGAATGCAAATTGAAACAGAAAGGACTATCTGACACACCAGATGAACCATGTGGGGTTTCTAATGAGAAGCTTGTATCAGACAAGAGTGATAATGAGCAGGGAAACACCAGCTTACAGTTAAACCCACCCAGTAATTCTGTAACAAATGATAACAGTGCGAGAAAAAGATTGCAGGTCTTTAAATTTAAGAAACCGACTACGGATACAGAAACTGGACTCATAACAGTAACCCCACAAAACTTACCTGAAAGGGACACCAACCCAAAAAAATCACTAGCAGCGTATTCAGATCTCATCAATTATGGCAAATCTCTCTCACAGTCCCAAAATCTGTTTACAAATCAGGGTCAACTATCAGCACCATCTCTTCCTGAAAACAATGCAAATGGGTCTGACATTCATCAATTTTCATCAGAATCCATGTCTTCAGCAAACAGAGGTGCAAGTGAAGTAGACAAGAAACCTACAAAAAGTAGCAGAATAGATGCATTTCGTGATCTCATTAATTATGGTATAAATCTCTCTCTATCTCAAAAATCTTCAGAAAAGTGAAGTAAATATATATATTTTTCAATCAAAAAAGATAAAATAATTGAATCACAGTTCTCATATTTTTTATACTAAATATGCAATTATGGAACTTTATTATTCTTTTTACAATTACAATTACAGAAAAGCATGATTTGAAGATATTTTTGATAATTGTTACAGAACCTACCACTCTCAACTGCAATGCTCCAATAAAAATATTTACACAGATAAATATTGGTTTTGTTTTTTTACAATACAGCTTTCAAGGCATAAAATAGGAAACTAGGAATGAAAAACTATCCTTCCTTTAATTCACAAGTCATTTACTCACATAGTTGCTTTAACTTTATTACACAGAACAACACAGCAACATATAAATCAACAAAAACTAGTATGATATATCGATATTCCACTTCATCTTTGCAGAACAACCTCACATGTACAAATGAACTTGCACTTTTCAATACATAAATGCTCACATTACCCCCCCCCCCCTCCTCCCAACACTAATGGAATACATCATTCATGCCCTTTTCGGTATACGGTACAATGGTTTATAGACAGTCTTAAGGTGCTTTCAATTACACCACATAAATTAATAAAGAGAAACGTTGTACTATTAGTGTTGCCCATTAATAAAAAGCACAACTTTACGTAAGATGAGAAAGGGTTGAAATCAGATTGTCATGTCAAGTCCAAACTTTCTTAATAGCACTTAAAATGCTCTTCCAAATTAAATAAAAAGCAAAGTTTATCTTCACAGAGTATATTCAGTTGCCATGGCCTTCATACACCATCCAAAATTGCTCATGGATCCTCAAAAAACACTTCTCAAAATATTAAATAATACCAAAGAAGAAAAAACTTGTGCATTCTTCAAAACCATCAGTTAGTAGTATATAATAAAATAAGTTAACGTGTTCCTTGTTCATCACTATTCAGTGGAAGTAAATTTCCACTTTCCTTTTAACCTCCTTCCAAACAAACTCTGAAACTAGCATTTTTTGTCCCTACAGATTCAAAAAGCAGGTTTCTTGAGTGATGCATTAATTCACTTTTGGATGGAGACATTCGACCTTGTGTCTGGTCAGTACAGATAATTTCTCATATCATATTCATATGCACACGCATGCATGCACACATTCACTTGTGCACGGTCACTTGCATTTACATAAACGATATGACAACAAAACATTTTATAATTCATCTAGACATAATATTTTAGGTGCAGAAATACGAGGGTTACATAAATGAATACTTAATTGGATATTGAGTTTAGATGTTTTACTTCTAGAAACAATGTGGAATATGTTTAAAGTTGACGTGGAAATAAACAATTTTTGGAGAATTAAAGAATTTTAACAATTGCTAGTCCTGATCCTATGTGAAGCAGTCAACTACATTTCAAATAAGCAGTATATATACAAGCATTTGTCAGAAACTTTGAATTTGCTAATAATAAAATTAAAAAAAAGACAAGAAAAACAAATTTTTGACATTTCACAATTCAGGAACTTAAATCAACTTATGAGAAAGGTTTTAAAAAGTAATTCTCTTTATTCAATTGCAAATTCCTTCTGTGACAATATCTCTCCTTTCTCCAGTTTAAAACATAAGTTTCAGGTGTCTAATGGCTCAGAAACCTCCTCCATGCTATTGAGCACTTTAATAAGTGTTTTTATTATTATTATTTATATTCAACACTAAATCTTACAGTACTTTAACTGATGGTTATGTAATGAGAAGTGTTCTTAAGAAAATATTTATGGAGACAAGGCTATTCATATTCCGAGTCCATATTGAAGTCTGAACTGCGACTGTTGCTGCTGCTGCCCCCTGGTGTGCTGGATGAGCCAGAGGAAGAAGAGGAAGATGAATTGTTCCTACTGCTGGAGGAATCATTTGCAGCTCTAAAGATGGGACAAAAAGTTATCATTAAAGACAAAATTTTATGAATTTACTATAAATTACTTTTAGGTATTATGAAAAAAATAAATAAATAAACCCTGCAATATCCTTTTGCCTGAAGAAATTTATCCCCATCCTGAAGATCATAAAAAAACACTGGCCTATAATGCAAGAATAGTTTGAAAAGTAATAGCTGAATTTTACATAATTTGGGGGGCTGAGTTCTATAAAAATATTTTTTTATATTCAATGGACTTTTTTCTCCAAAGCATTATTTTAATTTTAATGCCTTGGACACATTAAATTGTTATCATAGGGCAACTTGGATTTAGGAGCTGAAACTAAACAACCACAAATTATCTAACCTTTCAAAATCTTTCTTTGCATAAGAGATAACAACATAATTTGTATAAGAGAAATTAGAATCAAATTCCCAAGATAAAATATATACAGATTTCGCGAAAAGTTACCATCATTCTTTGACCCCAGTAAACAAGCTAAGTCAAAAACATTAAATTTCTCAGGACAGCAAAAAGCATTTTTAAACTAATGCTGAAAAATCACGAATTAATGATATTCAAACATAACCTAAACACAAATAGTTTCGTGTGAATATCACAATTCGTTTGGTTATCATAAATCCCTGATTTACTTCAACTTACGTTGTGGTTTGCTCCAGTAAAATCAAGTTTTTATGACTTGCCAGTTTATTCACCATGACCAAAGATATGTTATTGCAAAAATTGAAAAACATTACTTCAGAGATCACTTGAAATTGATAGAAAGTTATTTAACTGGTAGATTACGAAATGAGAAGTATCAATCTTTCATATGAAGAGAAATTACCGAGGCCCATAGATGTGTCTCAAGGTTCATTATTAAATCAATTGATGTTGGTTCTTTAATATGTCAATGATTTTAAATACATACTTCCATTTTGTAATGCAAAATTCTACTGCTGAGAATTAAATAAACTAAGATATGTAAGTGGCTAGTTGTGGCACTTGTGGTATGTCATTTACATATAGCGAGAACAACAGCGGAGAGAGGACGGAGCCCTGAAGGATCCCGGCAGCAATTTGCCGCTTAGAGGATCTCGCTTTTCCCACATTTACCATGAATGTGCGATTTGTGAGAAAATATGTAATTATTTCGGTTATGTCTCGTGGGAGGCAGCGCCGAAGTTTCGCGATCAGTGTTTTGTGTGGCACTTTGTCAAAGGCTTGTACCATGTGAAGGTAGATTACCGGTACATCTTGTGTGAGAAGCAGATCAGCGGATATCTGCTGAGCCATGCAGAGTTCTTGTAGTGATGCGGAATGGCCCGGTCTGAAGGCGAACTGCTCATCTCGAATTTGGTTTCGAGTGAGAACAGTTGGAAGGATACGTGCGAGGAGAAACCTCTCGAATACGTTTCCCAAAACAGGGAGAAGGCTGATTGGCCTGTGGCTCGCCGCGATCGTGAGATCCTTACCGGGTTTCGGGAGCATAGAAATACTCGCGTATTTCCAGTTGTCCGGAAAGTACCGCTGTGCAATGCAGCTGTTGTAGATTCGCGTGAGCTCCGTGCTTATGACCGGTAAGGCCTCCTTTAGTACGGGAGGCCCTATTCGATCGGGGCCCGGCGCTTTGCGGCTACGCAAGCATTCGAAACTTCTTCGACTGTACATTGTGTTAGTGTATTGGCGCTGTCCTCCGTTTCCTCCTCATCTTCCGCCTGTGTATGTTGTTCATGAACCTCTCTTCAAGCATGTCGGCGAAAAATTCAGCCTTAGCTTGCTCTGAGAAGAGGTATGTTGGATTACCCTCCGCATTGTCGTGGCCGCGTATGGCTGTTGCAGTTTTTGGTACTGATCTGAGCGCTTTTTGGAGTTTGAAAAGACCGCTACGGGAGTGATCTGAACCGATCTCTCTCATGCGTTTTTCCCACTCCTCTGCGTGGTGGTTTGCGAGCGACGATATTGGACGTTTTTCGCATTCCCGCAGTTGTGTTCTAAGCGCAGGGCATCTAAACTGCTGCCAGAGCCGTCTCGCCTTACGTTTTTCGACTTCTGGGGGGAGTGTATTTGATCCCTCTTCGGGCGGGCGCCAGAAGACCGGCGTCGCCTTTCTGTGGGCTGTTTGTATGTGTTTTGTGAGTGTAAATTCGCGTCTATTGAAGAAAGAATCTAAGAAGGAGTTTAGGTCCGAGGTCCTTTTATATACCTTCTGGTCCGGCTGACGGAACTGCGTCATCTCGCTGTTTCCGCCGCCGGCCTGCCTAGGAGTTCCCAAGTTTGCCACCCACGATACGGCACCCCTTCCCTTCCGCTCCCAGGTTTGCCTTGGTTCAGCCCAGCGCCTCTTCCGCCAGCGCTGTCCATGAGCATGAAATGCACGTGGCTGATATTTGGTACGTTTGTACAAGGCGACTGATATGACGCCACAAACTCCTCTATACCCCCCCCCCTGGAATTTTCGTCGCAGTTGCAAACAACAGGAGGAAAATTCCACAAGCGTGAAAATCCTAGGCCGACCGGCTCACATTATATACAACTGCGCCTGAGTTGGCTAATACACAGGTAAAGAAAACAAACAGAGAAGGCCCTACTAACCTACCCCATTGACATATTTTTACACCCACATTGTACATTGTCTTGAAATATTAAAGATCTTGCCGTACGGTCGGTCCCTCTTATGCATGGTTAAGATTTTTTAACAGCTTTTTAATAACTTTAAACAGCCTATTTATTGCACTATGTACACGCTCAACCGGATTGGTTTGCAGATGATAAACTGAACTATGGATCAATTTAATTCCAAATTTATTGCCGAATTCTGCCATCAGCATGCTTCTGAAGCACGGGCCTTGATCCGTTTGAATGTACCGTGGGAAACCGGTTCTGCTGAACAACTGCAAAAGCGCATCAATTACAGTACGAGTTTGAAGATCTAGAATCGGTATCGCTTCGGGGTACCTCGACGCAACACAAATAGCAGTAAGTACGTGGACATTTCCGGTACTGTTTCTCTGAAACGGGCCTGTCGTATCTAAATTCAATCGAGAAAAGACCTCTCTTAGAGTGGGGACCAACACTAAAGGTGTCTTCTTCCGATCACCACTATGACCTACGCGCTGGCAGCTGTCGCATGAACGCACAAATTGCTCCATCTCTTTAAAACAATTTGGCCAGAAGTGCTTAGACAAATTGTTCTTCGACTTAGCTATTCCTAGATGAGCACTGATAACTTCATGACAAATCTTTATTACAGGCCCACGAAATTTACCGTGCACAACTAACATTTCTTAAATGTCGCCCTTTTTGCTCTGCAGTTTCTTAAATAATAAGGAATTCCTAACAAAATATGTATTTCTTTCCGATTCTGCTTTTACGTCATTATACTTTTCACACAAACTATTTACACCCGCATCTTCCTTTTGCACCACGCTGAATTGTTCCGTATTTACTTTCAACATCTCAGCGATCGGCACAGCCAATTCTAGTTCTTCTCTGTCTGCTAATAGATTTCCGGGAATTCCTCCGACGGCTCATGCTCGTCTTCGCTCGGATTTGCTGGGAGGTCGCCTTCCGCCTCCGGCAATTCGACCTGCGGGTCCCCCGCATCCTCTGCTTTTGTCCTACTTTCCGTCGCAGCCTTACTGCGCGCCGTAACCATGTTTACCGTTTGTTCTTCTACTAAGCCCTGTTTAATATCTTGCAGAAGTTGAAACGTTCTGTTACTCAAAAGATAATAATTAAGTTCGTTTTCCTTCGGCACTATAGCGGCCCTGGTGATTACACTACCTATTTCTGAATTTAGGCGAATTTCCGCCACCGGCAAATTAATGGCAGCTGAATGAAGCGGCTGTTTGATCCAGACCGATTCGCCCGCATAATCTCGATCCGTGACTAGATTCGCGAATACAGGATCAAATGACGCGCTCGTGTCTCTCAAGATCTCAGTCGGCTGCTCATTCACAGTCCCTGCCACAATGTGCTGCCTCAAGAAATCCGTTGCCTCGGGTTCACACACATGATTTATTTGATTCCGCGGACAATTCTTAATGAAGTGCGTTCATAACACCTACATAATATATAGTATTCCTATTTAGTGTTTTCCTCTGTACATGATTTTCACATACACATTTTACAATATTACAATATTTTTGTGGCATTATTTGCAGCATATTTTAGGACTAAAAGGTAGCATAAACTTCCCAGCAGAACTAATTACAAGTTGTCCCGGAGAGTTTCAAAAAAGAATTCAAGATTGCAGAAACAAAATATTTTTATATCACTAGGTTGGAAAGTAATTTGCTCTTCGCCTTTATGGCATATATGTGAGGCTGCAAATAATGAAAATAGTGATTTATCCTTTCCAAATAATGATTTCATCGTTTTGGTTGAGGGATATTTATTGCGATTCTATAGTCAGTGTAGAGTAGAAACAAACAAATGCTTAATGTACTTTTCATATTATCGCATTATTATTAATATTATTATTATATTCTCACAGTTATATCTGGGTATAAGCCATCAAATTAGTGGCCAATTTGTGAGACTTAATTTTCTGCAAGACATGCAAATATTCCTCCTTTTTATCCTCAAGCAGGCATGCTGTTGCAGAGAGTTCGCTTCTCATGTATTTTAACAGTAAATTTTGGAGCTGACAATGGGAAATATTCCAAGAGCAGAGCATCATTCATCAAATGGTGTTAGAATGATCATTGCCAACATAATAATAGCAGTTTTCTAATGCCTTGTTGCACGCTTTTGCAGAAGCCCTTATAGAGTGTCTATTTTCCAGATATTGTTGTTTCACATACACGAGACCAATATATGAGACCATATATGAGACCAAAAGAAACATGTTAACAGGGAATTACTACACAAGTATATACTTTGCCAAACTATCTATTAGATATTGGATTGACAACAAGTGGGGATTGTGAAAAAAATACCTCCTGAGTTTCTACCTAACAAAACACGAGCAGTAGAATCCTCTACTTTTGGATACAAGAATAATATTACTCTAGTTTCATATGAATCAAAGATAAGTACAGCAGTTTCAACAATGTCAGGTTTGTCATGCAGACTGTGACATGATAATATCATGATGAAAATATTTCTATTGCAGGCACTGGCGAAGACGGGCACGCATACGTAATTTGTATTTATTGAGAAAGAGTTTTGTTTCACGGAATTTTGGAGATAAGAAAACATTATTAAGGCAGGAAGGCTAATGTCAAACATTACTGCAATTACTATTTGTAAAACCTATGTAAGGAAACTCAATATCCAACCTTATTAAAGTAATTAATGATTTACCGGCCTTATATATTGTATTGCTTACCCAAATTAAGGCCTTCACCACACGCCACTGATATATACATATGTATACAAGAAAATAAAAATAATTTCCAACCTCATTAGTACCACAAGGCTCGCACCTGGAACCTTTGCTTTTTACTTTCCCCTATACATACCTTTATAAGAAGTATAGTGAAAGTTATGTAATGCTGCAGAAATCTATTTCGAGATTTCAACGGAAATACACATTTTGGGGTCCCCTGATACCTAAACCATGCGTAAGATGTTTTTACCAAATTGAAGAAACCTGTGTCGATTTGGCTAGAATCAAATCTGAGATTTTGAAAAATTTTCTCAAAAATGGTTCCAAATTTTTTTCTTTCAATTTCTTGCAACAATAAAGTAAAATATAATTATAAAGGTGGCATAGGTAAGATTTTCAGGCTTAACTGTGAATTTTGGAAAATTTCAAAATTTTTCAGGCACCTTCTAAAAACTACAAAATTGAAGATAGAGATTTTTCCTTCAAATAAAAATTGTTCTCCACAGCGAGTTATTTAGATCATGTCCATTTTTTAATCATTTTTAGTATTTTTCACACAATATTGCAAGCAATATATGCAATTTTAAAAATATACAAAAACAAGATATTTTAAAAAGCGGCACCAATTTTTTTTCCTTAAACTTTTGGTACTCTTTGGCAATCTTTAATATGCCGTAAAGTTAATTTTGATGTATTTTTGTTTTTGTTTTTTCAAAAATTAATGGAAATTTTTTGAAAGATCTCTCAAGCCGTTGATATGCACATTTCAGAGCAATTTCTAAACACTATTGCCTTTGTGAGTTAAAGCAATTTAAATGGCATCAAAGTAAGTTTTTCAAAAACTCAAAAATTTTCTGTGAAAAAAAGCTTCAAATTCCAAATTTTCAGTAGGTCTTTAAAAACCATCTCCAAAATTTTCAAAGAATATTGCATTTACGAAGAGGTTTTACTGTTCTTTAATATTCTTAAAATAATATTTACATTCTATTAGGAAATCAAAAAATTAAGAAAATTTCACAAAAATATACTTAGGGCAGCAATAGATGGCAGCAGGCAAGAGTATGTGGCAAGTTCGAATAGCTAGCCGAGACCGTATGAATTAGATAACTGATGCAGGAAAAAGCATCCAAGTAGTCAGAATAACAATGTGGTATCCCAGCTAATCCCAGGTCGATATTCTGACAATTCAGATGCTTATACGTCGTGAAATATCTTATCTTCATTAGGTTCAACAATTTCTTTAATTGATTTTAAGTCCTTTAATTCATTATTATATTAATTTTTATTAAATGAGAAAGAATAATTTCACATCAAAAACTTTTATTTTCAATAAATTTATATAGATCTTTAGAATGACGCCAAAATCTTCCCCCTTCAGAATTAACTACTCTAAATGCTAACATGGCAGGAAAGTGCAATGAATTTAAGGTTTATTAATAAAGAATTTCTTTTTTGGGGTACATGGCTACATGATTTAATTTAAGATTCATTATAAAGCGCCTCTAGTTTCAAAACATCCATCTGGTATCTGAACACTATGAGCACCTAAACCATGGTTACATTTTTTTTTTAAATTGAAGAAACGCACGTACATTTTGGCTTGAGTCGAAACTATGAGATTTTGAAAAACATTCTTTAAAATTTCGGGTTACATTACATGAAGACTTCTCGACACTTTCAATATTTTCTCAAAAACTGCTCCAAATTTTTCTTTAAACTTTTGTTAGGGATTGTGCTAAATGCGCTATTCAATCTATGCAATCTGCACTATGCATTCTGTAATATGACATAATGCCATATTGCTCTATTCTTTTGTTTGTTCAAAAATTACAAAAATGTAACTGTTTTGACTGTTGCAACCATGCATGCGACATTCTTCAGTAAGTGAATTCATTTTCATTTAAAATAAAATAATTACAAAGCAAGAAAAAAAATATTCCACAACTTTTTTGAAGGAAGACCGAACACTCAATTTAATGTGTAAGTGTATATGTTAGCCTGATGCAGTTAAGAGAATTTCTTGAATTACCTGAAGATGGCAGCAAGGCTTGGTCCCATATTGGACATCGAATTACTAGCAGCACCCGACTGATGATCCTCTGCACCATCCTCACTAAGAGTCTTCCTGCATATTGGACATGTACCATGCTGCCAAAGAAAATAACACCTTTGATTATCAATCTCGAACATCAATATGTACAGTTGGTTTACCATCTTGCATTTGATAAAAATACAATAATAAAAGCATCCTAGGTTCACAAATCAAGTAAAACAACGAAAGATATTCGGATGGTATCGTAGGCTTCCGCGACCAAGAGTAATAATCTGGGCTGTCCGGGAGACGCCGCGTCGAAGGCTGAGGTGCCGACGTTTCGACCGATATATCGCGGTCCTCTTGAGGGCCGTGCTGGATGTTGGGCGCTCCGGTTTCTACTCACGGTCGACCAGGCTGTGGTAGGCCGAGGAGACGGCCAATCGGACGCGACCAGTGGGAAGGGGAATGGAACGGACAGACGAGAGCGGTCCGAGGTCGGGCGGCATGGTGCGGTCCGGGAAGCTCAGGGATCGAACGGCATGGTGCAGTCCGGGCCAGCGGGCGGCCTCCCGCGATCGCGCACCCCGCAAAGGGGCAAGAAACGCATCATGGAGAAATAACCCCGCGTCCCCGTTGATGTTCTAGGGATGCTTTGCAATCTCTCAATCCTTTATCCGTCGTAGCCACCACCTATCCTCTCTGGCGAGTACCTTGGTCTTGTCGGAAAGGAAGCCTGGCCGGTTTCCCATGCGTGGAGAGCTACAATGGTGCGATGTACCTTCTTAAATTAAAGTCACGGATGTGCTCAAGTAGTCTCTCCATTATGGTTCTTCTTGACTCCCCAATGCTAGTGTGTCCGCAGATGCATGGGATAGAATATACTCCGGTGTCTTGTAACGTGGAATCTGGTCTTTGAAGCGCATCAATTTTTGGCCGAGCTTCTGGTGTGCCTTGAAAACTGTCTTAATTTGGAATCGCCTTAGGAGTTTGTCTATCCTGTCCGTGACGCCTTGTATACAAGGTAGTGTGGCAATTCTCCTGTTTTCGGTGTCGTGAGTATCCCTTGGTGTAGGCGGGTCTTAAGGTTCAGGGTCCTGTTTATAGTGGATTTGCTGTACCCATCCGCGGCGAAAGTCACTTCCAGAACTTTGCGTTCAGCGGGGAGCCTTCTTGGTCGCAGATTCTAGCTGCACGGATGGCAAGGGTTTTTATGATGCCCTTCTTCGTCGCTGGGTGGTGGTGCGATTTGGCGTGAAGATAGCGGTTTGTGTGGGTGGGTTTTCTGTAAATCGCGTGCCCTGAGCTGCCGTCGTTTCTCCTACTCTCCAAGACGTCCAGGGAAGGAAGCTGGCCATTCTTCTCTGTCTCCATGGTAAGTATTATTTTGGTGTGATCACTGTTTATGTGGTCCAAGAATTCCTGTAGGGAATCTCGTCCGCGAGGCCATTTCGTTAAGGTGCCGTCGACGTATCTTACCCACATTGTAAGTTTGAGGCGGGCGTTATCCAGAACCTGTTTCAAATGCCTCCATGAAGAGATCGGCGGCAATCTGGGACTGAGGGAAACCCATTGCCGTGCCCTCCACCTGGGCGTAAAACTTCCCCCGAAATTGAAAAGGTAGACGCCAAGCAAAATTGCGCAAGATCGGCCCACTCTGTACGGAGCCCCCGGTCCTCCAATTTTCTCCTGATGATATCTACTGCCTCTCCGATCGGGACCATGGTGAAAAGCGACGTAGCATCAAAGCTCACAAGGATGTCTGAGCTCTCCAGGCGTCTCTGCTTTAGCAACTCGAAGTGACAGGAATTCCGGACATCAGACGCGATGTCATCCGACAACGGGCGGAACTTGTCGGATGCGCGGATGTGTGGGCGAATTATCAGCACTCACAATGGGGCGTAGAGAGACTGCCTTGTGTACCTTGGGTAGACCGTTCAAGGTAGCGTGGTTGCCGCGTTTTAACTAGGCTTTTACATCAGGCTCAATGCTGGATGAATTGTTGACCCTAGCAGCGACTTCTCCCCTACGTTTCCGTAAGGGGTTCTGTCGGAGAGATCTGTAAGCCTCGTCCTCGAGCAGGGTTTCCACTTTGATGTGGTATTATTCCTGACGAACGATAACAGTCGCGTTGCCTTTATCAGCTGGAAGAATCACTATATCATTGCGTTGGCGTAATGCGCGCACGGCAAGCCCCTCTTCTCGGGATAGGTTTCTCCGAGGGGGCTTAGCCCGAGATAGAATAGGAGCAGCTTCTCTCCTGAGGTCAGCATCTTCGTTGGGTAGAGCGGTAATGGCGCACCCCATTCCAGCGGTGATAGATGTGGGGATCCGTGTAGGAACGGTGGCATAGTTCCAGTCTTTGACGAGTATGGACAAGGCCCTTTCTTCAAATTCTTCGAAACGTCGACACTTCAGCCTTCGACGCGGTGTCAGCCGGACAGCCTAGATCACAACAAGAGATATTCTAAAAAAGTGACTAGAAGATAATTGGTGTTGAAATGCTGATATATCTAATAGTAATAGTGATGTAATAACAATTTTGCAGATTTGTAATCCCAATAATAGGACCATTCTATTAATAATAAATTGACAGCAATTTCAAGTAGATAAAAACATGCATACTAATATAATTTATAACTTATTTCCCCATACCTAATAGATACTCATTTTATTAAATTATTACTGATTATTAAATTATTACTGATAAATAATCCCAAGGAGTTTCTTTCACACGACATGATATTAAGAAATCTAGTTACACAACTTTCGTTTTTCTATCCAAAAATTTGCGAACTCTAAATTAAAATTGCCGGAACTATTTCAAAGTCAAACCAATCAATTGGGTAATTCAGTTAATATTGTATTTCGAAAAGTATTCAATTTTATATGACCATATTCATTATTATTACTCATTTCTTATAATTCACAACACTGCACATGCATTATTAACACTACAACACCCAGCAGCATGATTTTGACTTCTGGAACATTTTATATCCTTGTATCTTCTTTGTTTTCATAGAGGAGAGTTTGTGACTGTTTCCATCATTTTCATTTATCTACAATGTGTTAAAATTTGAAGTACAAGAATAATTATTTATTACTTTATATAAAATTAAACTACATTATTATATTATTATAATGCATCATCACTGCTTCCATAAATATCTAAGGAACTCAAAATAGTATATTTAGCAAACTTTCTGTAATCATTTGGAATATATCCTTTTATTAGATACAGATTAATTTTGAAGGAAATAAAATAAAAAAGGGTGATGTTTACACAAAAATGAGTTTTATTAACCTTTTAGTAATGGACCAGAGACAGGTCTCCCAGTACTTTTCAGCCCAGCAGTACAAATGGGATATTTCTTGCCTGATCTGTAGAGTGATGTGACAGCTCTTACCTCTCATTTACTGTTTACTAAAATAACAAGCTGAGCCACAGCAATTCGCATATATTGGAGCCACGGGCTAGAGAGGTGTTATTAGAATATGGGTCTCAAGGCACTGTACAAGCAATCATGGGCTACTGTGACAATTGTTACAAGTGAATTGCTATTACTTAAGATGCAAAATAAGTGGATATAGGTTGGTTACATTTGCATGGAGATAGCGCCCTAGTACAGAAGAAAAAGAAAGAAGAAGAAGAAAAAGAAGAGAAGAAAAAGAAGAAGAGAAGAAAAAGAAGAAGAGAAGAAAAAGAAGAAGAGAAGAAAAAAAAGAAGAGAAAAAAAGAAGAGAAGAAAAAAAAGAAGACGAAAAAGAAGAAGAGAAGAAAAAGAAGAGAAGAAGAAGAAAAAGAAGAGAAGAAGAAGAAGAAAAAGAAGAGAAGAAGAAGAAGAAGAAGAGAAGAAGAAGAAGAAAAAGAAGAGAAGAAGAAGAAGAAGAAAAAGAAGAAGAAGAAGAAAAAGAAGAAGAAGAAGAAGAGAAGAAGAAGAAGAAAAAGAAAAGAAGAAGAAGAAAAAGAAGAAGAAGAAAAAGAAGAAGAAAGAAGAAAAGAAGAGGAAGAAAAAAAAGACTCAGAAGAAAAGAAGAGATGTCATTTGACAGAGTACATTTAGCACTACCCATACCAAAAGTTGAAATAAAAATTTTGGAGGCATTTTCGAGAAAATCTTGTTGTTTTTTATTTTCACTTTCTGGTCTTTCGAATTCTTCGTAAGAAGAGAAAGTGATGTAATCGGGCGCCACAAAACGCCAAAATTTCGCCAGAAAAAACCTTGTTGCCGGGTTACGGTAACGAAAAAGTGGATAAATCCTATGGATTAATTTTTAAAAAATCCTCTAATTCGAGGTGTAGCCGGAATCCGTGTTGTTCTTAATACCGAAAAATCGATTGACGGCAAAACGTCTAGGTAGACGTCTGTGGTCAACGCTAGCGGCTAAACCGTTCAGCCGATTTTCTCCAAACTTGATATTTCCCAATCGATAAGGCTGATGTCGGGCCCCCTGGAATTTGAAACCGATATTTTAATTTTGGGGGGTACTTTACATGAAGCCCCTCGGATTTTTAATTTTTTCAAAACAATGACTAAAAAATTGATTAAATTTTGTTGTTAAATAGAGCGAAATCGTTTAAGAGAATTGTGAAGGTCTCGTATTCAATGATATCCCCAATTTTTCTTAAATTGCAAAAAAGAAATTTAAAACTATAAAATTAAAGATAGACTTTTAGATCAGATAAATATTGTTGTACAAAATTAGGTCGTTAAAAAGGTTATGCACAATTTTTTGTAAAAGTTTTTAAAAGTACTTTTTGCGTAATATGCACTTGAAATTTACAACAAAAGTTCTCAAAAACTGCTCCAATTATTTTTCACAAATGTAATAAGGGACAGTAAGAAATATGGCAGTAGTCCCATTTTCGGGGATTGCTAACTTTTTTCAAATATTGCAACTAGTTTTTAAAACTACGAAATTAAAGACATTTTGGCTAAGTCAAAGACTTGTACAAAATCACCTTTTCAGAAAAGAACATTTTTTTTAAAAGGAGTAGTTTTCGCGTTTTTTGTGCTTTAGATTCACAAAAAATCTTAAAAACTGTTCCTATTTTTTCAAAAATCTATTCCACATATGTAATAAGGGACGGAAAGAAATATGGAGCAAGTCC